AAACGGCGTGCCGTTTCAGAGTACGGGACGTACACGTGGTGCGCTGTCCACACTTCGCTCTGTCACCTGTACCACTCCGTGTACCTGTTCATTTTTGTCCGTGGATGCACTACTGGCAGACACACAAGTGACTTGTTATGTAGTTGTAGCGTGTACACCAGGCAAGCACTCCCTGGCTTGGTCTAGACCTACCCAGCAAGCTACAAAAACGAGTGGCGGCCCAGCGATGGCAGTACTGAGGCCGAGCGCAAGGAACATCACCCTGAACTCTGTTCCAGGTACGGAAATTTGGCCACACTCTCGCGGCAGCGCAGCATCACGGTCGAGGCCCGGTATAGCATCGCTTGATGAACTAATGGTTGTGGCCGCCGTGTATTTCCAGTAAAAGTCCCTGGCTTTGGCCTTCAGGTCGTCAATTTCGTTCATCACAACTGAACAGGGTTCTACTTCCTATCCAAACAGTTTCAAATACTCGCTCGTCAGTGAATTATCTCTCTCTCTCTCTACTACTACACCTTCCTCTTCACCAGACCCCGGGATTTCTCTGCATGTCCAGCCACGACTGTATCAATGTCGCTTCAGAGTCGTAGCTGAAACGGACGTGTGGCATTATGAAAACGGCAAAGCAAAAACAAGCTGCAGCAGCTGGAAACAGCACGAAAAAATGCGATCCGAAAACTCCACCGATCGACTCTCACACAACAAACACTGCGAAAACGGCACGTAGATGAGAAACGTGCTTTGTACAGGGGTCCTCGACTCACGTTCCGCGTGAATCCCACGTTCCCCGTTATCAGCCATTTTTCGTCACTCACCTTGGCAACAAGCATGTTTACGGCGTGTTTACGTGGTTTTCTACCTAGTCTGGACAGGCCCTTAGGCTGTACTCACACTACTTGAAAAACCGCATACAAGTGACTTACGTGTGAATGTTGCCACGGTGACGGTTGCGAAAATGAAAAAAGCCCTTGAAAGCCGCTTGAAAGGTTTCAGCGGAAACGGAACCCTCTTCTACGAGGTTTTTTGCTTTCAAGCCGTTTGGAAAGCTGTGTGAGGTCAGGAGGCCGGAGTACTATTGTACGTTGAAAGGCTCCAGAATATTTTTCATGCTTTGTTTCCTCGTGGTCGTACTGCTCCTGTACATATACTTGTAGTTTCCTTTTTTTGCCTGTCATTTCTGAATTCTGTGGTGTTTTTTCCGAGTATTTTCCGTCTTCTTTCTTCCAGTTGCTTCCCGTTGTTTTGATTGCCGTTTCTGTCGCATTTCTTTTGTACCATTGCTTTTGTACCGACATCATGCCTCTCGTAGTGTTTTCTGACGACTTGGAGAAGAAGCTCATCGAGCTGTGGAGAGAAACCTCTTCATCCGTCGACGTCGACGATGTGCTACTTCTTCGCGAGGCATGGCGAATGAACTCCACGATCCAAGCAAGATATAACTGTTTCTATTTTTCTCATGAACTGAAAATTTCAAATAAGTTGATCGAGCGCAAAAAAATTGAAGGAACGTAGCCTCGGGATTTGCAAAACTACCACAAAGTCATGACAATCATGTTTCTCCATGGTAATTTGCTGACAAAAATGTTTCAAGTCGTCACTGGAGTGCAGTGTGCTTGGAAAGGCTTTTTCAAGTACTTTTGTCTAGTTTTGAACGCGACATTCACGTCAAACTTTCAAGTAGTGTGAGTACAGCCTTACGTCCGTGAACTTTTACGTCAAAAAGTGAAAAAACTCACGTAAAATTTGACGTGTTTTACGTGAGTTGACCGTCCCGCACGTAAGTTCATGACGTGAGTTTTTGGAAATTTCGCTTGGTTATCCCGACCGAATTTGTGTGAGTTTCCGGAATTTTATCGAGATTTATCAAGTTTGTTGGAAGATTTGATATTTGTGCGAACTAAACCCGAATCCTGCCAGGCAAAATTTCACGTCACGTCGCACGTGTAACTTAACCTCTAAAAATTACACGTAACGTGAGATTTGCACCGCGTTTTGAAAAAGGGCAAAAAACGTGTAACTTAAGGGGGCAGCCTACCCATAAATTTCATATGGCATTCAATTGACCGTAACTTTGGTGTTTCTCAATGGATTTGAGTGAAATTTTGACCACACGCTCCTGCCACTATGCTGGCCCTCAGGACATGATTTACAAGTTCTTGCGCCTCACTGACAGGCTTTCCAGGCCGGAAAAACTCAAATTTCCGGCATAGTGCCACGGTGTGCGAGCCACCCAGGAGCCAAACAAATGCATTTACAATTTTTCCACATTTTCGTGCTCATTCTGTTCGTGAGCGGGACTCAAACCTAGTACAAGTCCAGAAGCAGCCATGGGTGATGGGGTAGGGCCCCTCAACGAGGCCCTGGAATCTGTCACAACGGAGCGAGTGGGCGTTCTCTCACACACTCCCACAGACCCAAGTCAATTTTTGAATTTTTTTAGGTTTAGGGTGTGCTACGAGGTCGTACCTTTGATACAACATCCAGTGCTGAGACCTCCACAGCAAGCCATTTCCACAGCGCTGCACACCAAATCCAGGATACCCTCAGAAACCGGCAAAGACTTCCACTCACGTTTCACGACTGCCTAGTACTGAATCCTACCTGACTTCTTGACACGACTCAAACTTGCCAAAGTCACTAAATCAACGTCAACTACAATAATCAAGCCACATATCTGCAACGTCACGAGGGTGCTGGCAAAAGTCCTGCTGCACGGCGGCGGGCTTCGCCCGCCGCCGTGCAGCCCAATACGTGGCTCAAAAACCTGATTTTTTGGACTTGGAGCAAAATTCTGCACACTTTCACGTGTTTCCATGATACGACAAGTTGCGGACGGTCTGCTCACATTCAAATACAGTGCTGCCAACAAATGACAGCGTGCAACAAAAAAATCTTTCCTTGCAAGGGCACATTTTCGGCCATAACTCTTGAACGGCCGGTCAGATCGGGACACAATTTTCAGAGAATTTGCAGCTATTAATGCTCTTTCAACTGACGTAGCACTCAATATGAATTTACAAATTCGATTTTCAGCGAATTAAATTCGATTTTCAGCGAATTTTTGGGTAGTCTGCCACCTTTTAACCTCTCTAATAGCTTTGATTTCGCGCGGTACAACCATTTTTGTCACCATATACGCTATACAAGGTGAAATGCGTACGGACTATGCAATATTTGGCCAAAACACTTACCGTTGGTCACAAGACTCACAACGATAAATCAGTAGTAGTAGTAGTAGTAGTATTTATTATTTTACTAGGGCAATCCCCACAGACTGTGAGTCTTTTTACAGGGTACCCTAGGTACATGTAAGTGCGTGAAATAGAGCTGAATGAAGAAAGCCGTAAGTGCGTGAAATAGAGTAAAGAAAAAAGAAAACGGTGGCTGCATGCTGTGCCATTATGTGTTGCAAAAGAGGCTGCGAAGAGTACTGTTGAACATTGCAAAGGAGGCTGCCTGGCGGCATGCTGCTGGAAGCGAATTCCACCTGTCAGCAGCCAGGTAAGGCAAAGCATAGAAACCGTACCGTGACGAAGCATTAGGCAGGGCTAAAGCCAGGGCGGACTGTCCCCTGGTCAAATCAGCCCCCATAACGTTTATACGCTGCAGCTTCAACGCTATTTGGGTGATCAAGGTACGAGTACCGTAAAAAATAGCGTAACCGTTGTTTGCTAAGGGTGTCTACTGAAGTACAAGTAACGTCTTCTGCATAGATATGGGACCGGCGCTGACTCTGCCAATCACGGGCGTTCTGGAGTCGACGGGATGTCTGTCCTGACGTTTCCTGGGACCGGCGCTGACTCTGCCGATCACGGGCGTTCTTCTTCTTCTTATTATTATTATTATTATACTGACGGCAACTAACATCCATTCTGATTGCATTTACTCGTCTCCCTACTTTTTTTTAAAGAAAATCTCCCCAAACAGCAGGGAGTCGTTTACATAATATGACTCCCTGCTATAGATCTACATGACTTTATATACGTTATGATTATTATTATGCTATCGGCCTACATGTGATTCCCGGGCTGGTCGACAGGCCGCCCAGCTGGCCAGCCAGCCTGCTAGTGAGATCTCGGCCTCGCACACAAATCCACACAAAATGTTACTGCACTGAATGCATTCCCCCGATACACTTCGCATATATACTCATTCTCTTGATGGTACCGTACTCTTGATGGTACGGGACAGGTATGGGATAGCGCCAGGCATGTCGATGGCACAAACAAACAAAAATATTGTGGCCAGCTGTCTTTGCTGGTACGGTACAGTACGGGACAGATACGGGATAGCGCCAGGCGTGACACAAACAAACACACAAACAAACACCAAATTAAAGCTGTGTGGACCCTGGCTAGCGCCAGACGTTACTGAAGTAACGTCTTTTGCATAGCTACGGAAATTAAAGCTGTGTGGACCCTGGCTAGCGCCAGACGTTACTGAAGTAACGTCTTCTGCATAGCTACGGGAATAAAAAACGGCATTACGCAGCTGTGTATTAAAGCAGTAGATGCACAAAATACCCATACAGTGCATTTTTTTTGCCGATTTTATTGCTTCTCTCGTGATGGGCACATATTATGGTATCAGCTTCCTTGTTCTGGAAAATCCGACCATTCAGCACAATACCGGAACAAGACGGTCACACTCCAGCTGCATTGGTGCATCTATTCATTGTCCCTGAATCGGGATATTACTACGGTTACAGGCTCTTCTGGCATTAGCAGGTGTGTGTGTCAGGACATGTGGAAGCCAGATATGTACATTATCATTATTATTATTAATATCCTTGTTCGCGTTGATATCACCAAGCAAGCTTGGCTAGTCTTCGCATAAGCCAAATGAAAAAGAGGAACGAACCAATGAGGAGCACACACGCATGCGACTGCAGAAGAGGAAAAAAGGAAAACAGATATGTACATGCATGTCTTATTATTATTCCACAACCTCGAACACGGTCTTGCCGCCGTACAGCAATCGACCAACACATTCGCAGTCCCTCGTACGACTGGAAAACATCCTATCTTCCTGCGCTGTTACGCGCGTTAGACCTTGTGATATGCACAGATAAATGCTGCATGTGTCAGCCTACAAATATACCCTGCCACAAGAGAGCAGCTCAGGGTTCCTCAATAGTCCCTTTGTCCAAGATAACAACTATCCTGCTCAGTTCCCTCTCCTGTAGTGAACCCTGCTTACTGCGCACATCTGTAGCCTGATGTCCCATCTTTCAGTTGAGTGTGTTCAGTCTTCATTCTGCCCCGTTGGGACACCTCTTGCTTCGTATGTGTGGCTGTAGTACATGTACAGTGTATAGCCGTGGAGATTGTCATCATCTGAGCGGAAGGCTGGTCAACGAGGAACACAAGGTTGGTTTTAGGGCTCAAACGAGCACAATACTGTCGTACTAGAACATTCTTGACGCTAGGAAGACAAAGGAGTGAATGTTCAATAATATTACGTGATATCTGTACTGAATGCTACATTTGCGCGAGGTAGGGATTGTATTTTAGTCCATACCTAGTACTGATGGTGACAACCAATATAAGTTTCCTTCAAACGTTTACCCTTTTCATCCCCTCAAAATGGTATTGGTATAAATTTTGGTATTGATTGATTTGAATTCGGTATCTCCACAGGACAATGTACAACTTCGGAAGATCCGAATGACATAGATACATAAACATAAAAGTGGACTACGTGCTACAGCTGATCATTTTATCGCAGGTTGTGGGACTAAACTAAGTACCAGTATGCAAGTACACAAGAAAATACTCCATATACGCTGTGCATTGTCAGAGAGAGTAGTAGTAGACACACTAGAAAGAAGGAATCAAAACGTTTCCGCTGTAACTCGCCATGTCAGGCCTCTTTTACAAGCAAAAGAAACACAATAGATGACAAAAATTCTTCAGACTTTTCCCATTTGCGTCTTTCCCTCAAACCAGTGAAAATTGATGAAAATGCAATACAAATACACAAGGACTCAGATGAAAATCCCAAAACATCAAGGGAAATAATTATATGCAACCCAAAAAGCTAAAGCAATGTGTGATTAACACTACACACACCTGATAGGAATCAAAAGCGTTTCTGCTGTAACTCTGAATTGCAGTGCATTGAGTATTTGTTGTGCCTATTTTCCACCCCATCACCCAACTCACGCAATCATTTTCATATCACACTGTCAACCCGGATCATTGATTCGCGACATGATCCAAGCTTCCAGCCTATATCAATCTTATCTTCCGAAAATGGTAGTCAACTTGCAGTCTGATGATCGGTAAAGATACTCAGAGGTAGAGCAGAAACTCGTTTGATTCCTCTCAAGTGTGTGTACGTGTACTATGCTTTGTACCTTGGTGTATTGAGCACTGTTACGAGCCACAACAACTCTCTCCGAGTGTGATTAACACTATGTATTGGATTTAATATCACTCCAAAACTACAGCAACACCTGATACAGATTATAATACACTAGAGAAAAAGGAAAAAGGATCAAGGAACTACAGGGTACGCTGTCATGTCCACTAACAGCACCAGCCTAACTTTTAAGGGCGTAACTCGCAGTTCCTTGGTCCTTTTCCTTTTTCTATAACATTATCCTTGGCTCTCCATCCAAAAAACAATATCAGAACTATTTTAAACAAGACAAACAGCACCCATATATGCCCCTCCACAACAGCCAACTCTCAAAGTAACTATGCTGTAACTACTTGAAGTACGGAGAGCGGAGTCCTCAGGTTCGATAGACTGCTCAATGCGGAAGGAGAGCAGTAACACACGAGTCACAGAGTACCAAGCGTCTGGATTGTTGTCACTTTAAAATAGTTTCATGCCAGATGGCAATCTTCAGACAACTGATAACAGTGATGCACAGCTAGTATGGTAGTTATACAGTGGCATAGAAAGGAATCTGTGAAGGTTTGAGGTCTGGTGGGTGCAAAAGGTACTGGAGGGAAAATGTGCCAAACATCCATAGTCCGTGAGTGAGAAAAGAAAGATAAGCAAGGCTGTGTTAAAGAATGATAACGTGGCTTGCCTGCACTCACAATCATGCAGGTGCTAGATGCCGCACACTTTGGTAAGCGCTTCAAGTACTCTGCTGCACCGTACGTACAGTATCTGGCCATAATTATGGTGGCAAGACAAGAAAAATGTGAACCATCTTAGCAAATACAAACGGGATAATTCGATGCTTTTATTTTTGTCTTTCTGGTGCGTAGATGGGCTCGAGACCAAACCGAACGGGAATATCATCCCTTGTTCCATTAGTTTTGATCGTGGCATCTTGTGAAGCTACGGCGGTACCAACAGTGACGGAACCCAGCACGCGATCAACGCCTGCAGAACACGAGGACACCAGTTCAGCGACGATCTTCGTGTCATCTCCACTCACATCTGATGTTATCCCGGAAGGCCAGTGCGGTGAGACCCTGGAATATGCGTGTGGCAGTGTCAACGCAGCTCTATTGTCGGCTGGCTTGCAACATCGCACATGGATATCTCGCAGCTCTTCGTTTACATTCTCACTGGCGGGTCGTCCCGAACACGGCTGTGTTGTACCGATAGGTCAAGTTGTCGATGTGGAAAGGCATCATGCAGACCACAATATAACACTGCACGTTGAGTTCAGAGGCGACACCAGTCTCGGCTGCTCCCGTGTAGTATTAGAGTACAGCGTTGTGTCGCACCTCTCATTTCAAATCACCGGGGGTACATTCCGGCTGCTCGTAAGCTCGATACTGTTTCGGCCAAAATACTCGACAAAATTCGACATCAGCTCCTTCTCCGTGGTAGGTCTGAAGCTATTCAAGGCAAGAGTCGCCTCTGTGTCCATTGATAACTGTACGTTCGAGTTATCCCCTTCACGTCGAATACTGTCGGTCAATACGCGAATCTCCCCGAATGTCTCTTTGTCGGTCTCGATTCTCAACACATACGCCAAAGGCTACTTCAGCTCTGCCAACAGTTTTGTAAGCAACACAATCGGAATTGAAACCGATGTTTCTGTTGTCGATCAGACCTATGTAGAGATTCACAACTTCAATGCTTCCGACCTGGTCAGTACGGAACCCAGTTTTAACGTGATCAAAATCGAAATACCGAATGTTCGTCGACTCCTGTTCAACATGACGAACTGTTACTTTCTACGAATAAACGCGGACACTGCCGTATTTCTCGAACTTAAAGACGTAGGCGAGTTTATCTCTCCCGAAATGAATCCCAATTCAGTGAACGAAGTCGTCATCGACAGCACGATATTCGAGAACTGCAGTGTACGTCTTGCTCCTCTAGCTCTGGACGGGATCCAAAACACCTTGATAGCAAACACCAGCTTTCTGAACACGCTCTGCACCTCCGTACCTGTGAGTGGAGGCATTGCGTGGAAGTATACTCGCCTAACCCGACAACCGTCCAATGGCGGGTCAGCACCGATACTCAGAGTGGAAAACAGCACGTTTACGGGTGCACTGATAAGCAATGCCAATCCTCTCCCGAATATGGTATTTTTCGGATTTTCCCGCGGCAAAGCGTTCGCACTGGCTGTCCTGGAGATGTCCTCAAGTCGCGGAGATAACAGTGGGCAGCGCATGGACTTTCTGGATTGCCAGTTCGACATGACATCATCCCATAAACATGTAGGGTCAGCTGATTATCCCCTGTTTCACACTAAGAACTCAACTGTTCGCTTCCTGGGCAACACAATAATCCGGTAAGAATGACAAGACTTGTTGATATTTCCATGTGAGGGCTTTTGAAAGGTTGCATTTGGGGAATAATTATTCTTTAACCAGTCATTGTGTTCAAGTCGTGATGTGCTCCATGATCCAATCAATGTGAGATCACTGGTTTGAGTTCTTGTGCTGGGATAGTATTCCCCGGTTGCTGACGTCTTTGGTCTTGCCTGCATTCAAACTGGCGAGAGGGCTTGGAAATGCACCCGCAGATAAAACATTACCAAAATGTTCATCTTCCAGTGTGTACTTTTTGTGTTTTGTAACCTTCTTTCACACTTTAAAGTTAGATAAAGTGAAGTGAGCGAACAGTTTCAAAATGTGTTAGGTTCTGTTATGTTATGACGTAATGCCGTACAACTTTAGCTCTACTGTGTATGCACTATGCACGCATATCTTTGAAGGGCTTCTCTGTTGTTTACAGATTGTATCTTTTCAGTTTTTCTACTTCGTATATTCTAACCAATAAACTACTTGTCTCTTGTCTACCGAACCTAACAGGTTCATTACCGGTTTTCCCCCGTTGCAGCTGTACTTGCCGACAGCCTCAAACCATGTCCAATAGCTTCCTGCATGTCCACATTTTTCAGCATATGGGCGGGGGGGGGGGAGGGTGGACTAAGATGGAATGATCACGTGTACTTCCAAAATCACATTCTTCCAGCTCCAGTTTCTCGCGTTCAATGTATACGCATCATATACTTTCTTGGTTGGATGACGAAGCCCAAAACTCACCTTTCGGATTGAGACCATGATCGATACCAGGGCATGTGTACAGCCCACTCAAACTCAACATGAAAATGATCGAACATTGGTGTTAGATTAATGTATAAGCCGGCCATTAAAGGGTTTTAAGTGAACCGTTGCGCCTCGTAATCTATACTACTAGCTTCAAGTCAGTTACTCAACATTACTCTGCTCCATTTCTCTGGACGTTGCATTTCCAGGACTGCCACTGACGCCCTTCGCAGCCCTTTCTCCACGGACAACGGTACCTTCAAAATCATTGGTCGCCTCAGCCTCAACAGCAGCCCTCGATTTCTACGCAAACTGGAAGGCGGCAGCATATTCTTCAAACAGGTGAGGCATAGCGAAATGATTTGAAAGCACTCATCGATGCCCCGCTCGTCCCAATCGCCCAAATAATTATTATATTATGCGGAATTGTATACCGTATAACAAGCACAGTGTTGGAAGATTTCAAGGACGTGAACAGTTTCCTCAGAGACAAGAATACGATCTTACTTAGAAGAGGGACTCACTGCAGGCTCTTGAAAATTGAAAGCATGAAAAGCATAAAGGTATACTAGTGAAAACTTAAAAAAATCTTTAGACACATTTGTTACTGTTTCGTCCTTTGTGGACGGGACTCAAAAGCGCAGCACAGAGAAAGTGAGGATGAACCTGATAGCAATGAAAAATAATTTTCCAAACCCAGATTTAAATGAAGCCCAAACATACGTAGTTTTAAAAACTTTCGAAATGTTGTTTAAGAGCCTGATATGCGTCCCTCTTCTCAGTATAATCGTTGGAAGATTTTGAGCTGTTTCATATCTTTGGCGTACGACCACATTTGTGAAGAAAGCGATAACGGCATGTGAACAATGTAAGGTATTATGGAACGAACATGGCCAACATCATGTGCGGCATATCTTTATGCAGGGGTTGAGTGGAGGTGGAACTAACATGTCAGCCCTGAATAGTCATGTCGATAATGATAGTTGTACCACAGCCAAACTAATAGTACGAGTCAGTCAGGTCAGTGAAGTGCCAGGTCAAGTGGGGGCAGAAAAGGGCGAACTCCAGGTTGGGGAGCAAACACTTTCCTTGCTCCACTGATATGTAAAGATGTGACTATTTAGATAATCTCTCAACGTACATAATTAATGTTTGGTTTCGCTGTTGATCTTTATGAGAGCTGGTGTGGTTCTGTTCTTGATTTTGTCGATTGGTGGGATCATGTGTTGCGCCATCTTGCTCCTGTGATTTCTACGACGTCGCCAGCTTGATCAATTCCAATTCACAAAGAACGCACGGAATTCCATGAATAGTACGTCAATCCAATTGAAACTAAGTGTGAGAGTGGCTGATCAGTATTATGGGCCAACACAATGCCGAACAGGGACGAAGGAAAGCACAAAAAGTACTACAACGGTAAGTGGTATTCGCAGTACATGTATGAAAAACACAGGCAACCGTGATTATCTAGTTTCTCTTTTTAGCATCACGTGGCTATTCAAAGGGAGCTGACTAAGAACCCGATGGAGCAACGGCGGTTTAGGCTGGCTTCCATGTACGGAAGACCTGTGTCAAGGGCTGCACAGAGTGTATGTCAGTATGGAGAGTTTAAACACATAACCTTAAAGAGTACTAGTATTGGAGAAGTGAAGTGTGTCCTTTTTATGAGTATTATAGTATTGGAGATGAAGCCTTTAACAATATTTGAGTGCATGATGCGTGCAGTATGTTTTGGCAGGTGAGCTTTAGGCGCGGTTCATTATTCATTTTTCCGTCTTTCACTCTCCTTGTACACTCTCTCGGTGTCCCTTTCTTTTCCTTTCTCATTGGATCTATCTGTCTTTCCCTTTGTCTCTGTTTCTCTGCTTCTCTGTCTCTGTCTCTGTCTTTTGTGCTTCCTTCCTTTCTCTCGATCTACTATATCTGTATAATATTATCTCACTCTCGCTCTCCCTATCTCTATCTATGTCTTTCTGTATCTGTAGGGTAGCAAGAGAACAAGGATATCCACGGAGATGAGCCTGAACTGCTACTCGAAAGCTGATCCGTCGCTCACATTTGGCTATGGGCAGGCTGATGGACATGAAAAGGGACAATACGGCGACTGCCTGTGCAACGCGTATCAACGTGCCTTTTCCGAATCTGGCATTGACACTGTAGGGTGCAACAAGAGCGTACGAGCTGCGCAAGTGTGCGGAATTCGGAATACTACGATTCTAGTGACATCGGAGTTGGACAATGACCTCTCTCGTCTTATCGTCAGCAAACCGTCGTGGCTCATTTTCACTGGTGCCTCCAGCCAATGCGTGAAACGCACTGCGATGCACTGGCTGTTCTGGAAGACATCCTGTACCACTTCAGCATATCATTCCGGTGCGAACAGACAAATCATCAGGTATGTTTCAACTACTCGTTTTTCTCAGTTCTGGTATTCGCGCTTTGCCTTGCCGATATCCGCCTTGAGCGAACAAAATGTGGTTCACGCGGTTTTTTCATTCTTCTGCTGCATCACTTGGACGCCACCATATCATCAGTGATGCTTGTAATACTACCGTAGATTAGCTTGAGGGATTGAAAAGCCACAAAAGGTCTGAAAAACATTGACTGTCGCCACCTGGACAAGAGCAAAAGACATTCTTACTAGGCCAGAGCTTTGGTGTAGAGGTTGTCAACATTTCCGTCAGACTTGGAAACTCTTACACTAACATACTTCACGCATAATGTAACGTAGTACGCGCGAAGCTCCAACTTTCCAAATAAATCAATGAAAAACAGCGAAAACCTAAATCACCAGAGACCAGACCATGTTATAAAAGTAGATAGCGTTCTTTTAAAATACATAAAACTCTCCTCCTCCATGCGCTCTACAGCCGACCATTGCTACCCTCCTTAGCCATTACTTACACCAATAATGTCAAACAACGAAGGGGTCGCGGGTAAAACATTTCCTTCTGAAACTGAATATTGTAACAGCCAAATGGTATCTAAATAACCGACGAGGAGACAACAGTCGTAAAATAGCAATGAAAAATATCGATTGTGCACTCAAAACCATGTATAAACAATTAAAATGACATAATTCCAGAACGTTTTCGTATGACTATCATCAGTGGAACATCGTCACATAACAAGAATCACTAAAACAACCAGTTATATAGCTAGAATATGAAAAGAAGCGTGAGAATGCAGCACAGCTAGCGGTTATGCATAACGCGTGTAGTGTGAACCTTTGCAGTGTTTCTAAGAATGGTAGCAGTAGATGAATGTGGCAGCTGTTAGTGCGTGTGGACAAAACTGGTGAGTGCACTGGTGAGTGCAGTTGCAGGTGTTGGAAGCTGTATATATTCGCACACGTGACCCTGTTCTATGCAAGCAAAAAGAATGTTGTAGCACTCACACTTTTTAAATAGTACGCACTCACCAGTTTTGTCCACACGCACTCACAGCTGCCACATTCATCTACTGCAACCATTCTCAGATACACTGCAAAGGTTCACACTACACGCGTTATGCATAACCGCTAGCTGTGCTGCATTCTTACGCTTCTTTTCATATTCTAGCTATATAACTGGTTGTTTTACTGATTCTTATTATGTGACGATGTTCCACTGATGATAGTCACACGAAAAAGTTCTGGAATTGTTTCATTTTAATTGTTTATACATGGTTATGAGTAAACTTTTCTAAGCACTCGCAGACTCCATTGCAGCCATTCACACATTATAGGGTACCTCACTTCAAACTCTCCAACTACGGTCTCTTCGCTGCATATGTTCACTTCACTTCCAAAAAAAACAAATAATATTAGATATAAATTGAATGCACCAAATTTTCGGGCATGGCCCATCTTCAGGGTGAAAAAGAAAACCATTAATTTTAACTAAAGCTAACAAAAACTGAAACGAGTATATATGCTGTGTGGTGCGGTAGTGCTGGAAATCTTTGTATGTGTGAAGGGTAGCAGCAATGGTGAAGTGTGTTGGTAGAAAGGGAAGGAGCGAAAGAGACCAGTGGAGAGCTGTGTCTGTAAGTGTGAATATGTGTTAGTGCGATGTGAAGGGAAAGCACGAGAAGTTTGGTTACCAGCAGCAATGGTGAAGTGTGTTGGTAGAAAGTGAAGGAGCCAAGTGGAGAGCTGTGTCTGTAAGTGTGAATATGTGTTAGTGACATGGAGAATAGAATGCAAAGCATCAATGTAGTTGGGTCCATGGGTGTGAAGACAAAGATGACGACAACTATTTGCTAAGCACTATATAACCATATAACCAGCTAGCACACATAAACATCAAATATCAAATATTATCATAATATATTCGCAACATCACAGTCTACCACAATTTACAACACCAGCATCTAACACAATAATTTCACACTTCACAGTAGAACACACCCAGCAGAATGTCTCGCACACAGTCAGCTACCTCGACTTGTCTATCTCTGTGGCGAGTGGTGTTGTGCAGTGGGAGTTGTTCGTTAAGCCCAGTCATAGTGGTGTCTATCTATCGTACGAGTCTTCATTGCCATTGGGGGTGGTCGAAGCTCGAGTCGGAGACGATGGCTATGTTTCCGTGGAAGCCTCGCTTGTATCGTCGCTACACCGATGATTGTCTGGTAGTATGGTGTCATGGTCCTGTCAAGTTGATGGAGTTCGTGCAGTACTTGAGCAGCAGACACCCAGACATACGCTTCACAGTAGAACACACCCAGCAGAATGTCTCGTACACAGTCAGCTACCTCGACTTGTCTATCTCTGTGGCGAGTGGTGTTGTGCAGTGGGAGTTGTTCGTTAAGCCCAGTCATAGTGGTGTCCATCTATCGTACGAGTCTTCATTGCCATTGGGGGTGAAGCGTTCGGTTGCCCAGGAGCAGTTCCGGCGCGCAAATAGCAACGCGTCAACCGACAGGGGGAGGGAGCGGAGAGAGAAGAAGATCGAGCCATTACTACGAGACAACGACTACCCACAACACGCTATTCAAGCAGCCAAGCACCATGCAAGCACACCAAGACCATCATCCACCAGACAACGACAACAATCGTACACATCCATCATCAAACTGCCCTTCGTCAATGATCGTTTGGCACGTGATGTTCGTCGTACGGTGAGGTCTTTCAGTAAGGATGTGCGTGTGGTGTTCCAGTCCGGTCGGTCACTAAGGGACATGTTGGTATCGTCATCATTGTCCCGTCCTGAATGCCCGAAGGAAGTGTATAAGAAGAGAAGAGGGAGGGGGCGACCAGTTGAATGTCGTGCATGTGATGCTGGTATGGAGAGTGGTCAATGTTTGTCTCAGGATGTTATCTACTCGATGTTATGTGCACTTTGCGCCGAGGAGTACGTTGGCGAGACCGAGCGAACTGCAAGGAAGAGATTTGAGGAGCATTGCAGAGAGGCCAAAGCGCAAGCGCTGGAGACGCCATGGGGAGAACACTATGCAGAACACCACCCACAACAAGCAATCACATCTACACCCATCACCAACGCATCAATTCTCGCCAAGCAGTCTTCCCTTGTGAATCGTCGTATACGTGAAGCAATGTTCATTCGTGATAAACGCCCAAGTGTTAACAGGGATCGTGGCTGGAGACTGCTGGACACAGTGTGAAATTATTGTGTTAGATGCTGGTGTTGTAAATTGTGGTAGACTGTGATGTTGCGAATATATTATGATAATATTTGATATTTGATGTTTATGTGTGCTAGCTGGTTATATGGTTATATAGTGCTTAGCAAATAGTTGTCGTCATCTTTGTCTTCACACCCATGGACCCAACTACATTGATGCTTTGCATTCTATTCTCCATGTCACTAACACATATTCACACTTACAGACACAGCTCTCCACTTGGCTCCTTCACTTTCTACCAACACACTTAACCATTGCTGCTGGTAACCACACTTCTCGTGCTTTCCCTTCACATCGCACTAACACATATTCACACTTACAGACACAGCTCTCCACTGGTCTCTTTCGCTCCCTCCCTTTCTACCAACACACTTCACCATTGCTGCTACCCTTCACCCATACAAAGATTTCCAGCACTACCGCACCACACAGCATATATACTCGTTTCAGTTTTTGTTAGCTTTAGTTGAATGGTTTTCTTTTTCACCCTGAAGATGAGCCATGCCCGAAAATTTGGTGCATTCAATTTATATCTAATATTATTTGTTTTTTTGGAAGTGAAGTGAACATATGCAGCGAAGAGACCGTAGTTGGAGAGTTTGAAGTGAGGTACCCTATAATGGTTATGAGTGCACAATTGGTATTTTTCATTGCCAAATGGTACCGTTCACAGTTTTCTAGATAGCGTTCTTGTTAGAGAAAAAAAAGCTGACAAGCAATTTGCTTTCTGCTAACACACGGGAACCGTAGCGGACGAATATTTGAATTTTCTCTGAATTGTCTCCTGCTCTGATACACACTGTATGTCCTACTATCTACACTAAAAAAGATTCATTTCTAAAAATGGATTAAAGTGAACCAAATCTTTGGCTTTGGGAAACCCTCAGCCTTGATAATCAATCATGTTGCTTGCTTCCTGGCGGCAATACAAATTCGAAGGAGTTTCTTATTGCCCCGTCAGTCCTGTCCTAAGTAACGTGGTAGTCTCGAATACTTTTGCCATTGCCCCCTAATATTACATTTCTGATCTCTTCCTCGTCTCTCCATTGCTTCTGAAGATCGTTCTTGAACATTTCGGACGTGGCGCTGCGCCTGCTTGTGGAGACGATTCGTGCTGAGCGTGGGTCCATGACCAACATGGTGCTGGGTGGGCATCTACTCCTCTGGCCCTGGTCGCATTCTATTGGTCGTGCCTGGGACAGTACATATCATGCAGAGCATACGCAACCAACCGGAGACAAGCGCATTCGTCTAGCAGATGTGACGCTTCTGGTCGCGCCTGGAGAGAGCCTCTCCATACATTTGACAGCATTGGACGACGTCCTAAGCCGAGTGACTACCACACTGGTTGTAACAGTAAGTACAGCATACGGAGAAAGGGTCTGAAAACCTAGAGTAATTGAAGGATCCATCTCAGGCGATCTGCTACCTACCATGGCCCAAGGACTTCGCAGGAAGTCAAATCCCTGTTAAAGAAATAGGGCCCCGCAATATATAATTATGAATTGTTGCATGCAGAGCTTGCTCAAATTTCTTATGCGTGATGATAGTTTCCTTAACGGCCAGAAATAACTGTACACGTGGTCTGATCACATCATTAGAGAGGTTAAGTTACACGTTTTTGCCATTTTCAAAACGCGTTGCAAATGTCACGTTACGTGTTATTTTTAGAGCTTAAGTTACACATACGATGTGACGTGAAAATTTGCCTGGCAGGATTCAGGTTTACTAGGAGTTCGCACAAATATCAAATCTTCCAACAAACTCGATAAAACTCGGGAAACAACGGAAAATCACACAAAATTTATTTATTTATTTATTTATTTATTTCTGCACCTCGTGGCATGTCAAGACAGCCAATTGAGTTGAGGAGAGGGTGAGACCAACCACGGAAGAAGAGAAAAAAAGAAAATTAAGAGCACGTACACAAAGTGGGAAGGGATTAGCAACTTACAAAGCAATGGGATGCTCAGCGAGCTATGCAGCGGAAGTGGTGACTGTGACTTTGTTTACTGGGAGATACTGAAGTGCTGTCTGACGAGGGTACGGAATTTGGGCATATCTGGAGCTTGTCTAACACTGGGAGGCAGTTGGAGCCACGTGGAATAGGAGGAAAAGAAAGGGGAATTTACGAATAGGGTAGACCTAGCTAGGGGGAGACGAACGCAGCTTCGGGTGGTGCCACCTGAATTGAACCAATTAAGGGACTGTAAATGAGCAGGGTGCTGGTCAAGGAAAATTGAATGCGCCAGGGTGCACTTGGAAGCATCAAGGTAATGTTGCAGAGTGGTAGTGGATGCAGCAGCATACAAGTCTAGATTTGAGGTATAACGATCAGTACGGAATATGATTCGCAGTATACGGCGATGGAGAACTTCTAATTTACCTATGTGGGTTTTGTTAATGGTGGACCAGGCAGGGAAGCCGTACGTGAAGAGGGGAAGAATGTATGATTTATAAAAATTAATCCGGCAATTTTTGGGCAAATGGGACAAGTGACTTGACATTATGCCGACAGATCGGCATACTTTGGACGACACATGATCAGCATGGTGAGACCAGGAGAGGGCGGAATCTATGACAATGCCAAGGTGTTTATGGTGGGGCGCTACAGAGATAGGGTGACCGGGATCATCGGGAAAGTGGAAGATGGGCACTGGATCTGTGGGAGGGGGAAACAGGAGGAGCTCGGTTTTGGTCACATTTGGCTTAAGGTACCAAGTGCTCATCCAGGGAACAATGTCGTTGATACAGGTCTGAACTTTGGGGTACAGGGTGGCGTGAGATGGGGAGGAAGCAAGGACAGTGGTATCATCTGCAAACAAAGAAATATTGGGAATTGAATAGGGGAGGTCATTAACGTATGTGAGGAAGAGCAGGGGACCTAAAATGGAGCCCTGGGGCACTCCGGATGTCACAGACTCGGGGTCAGATAAGGTTCCATTTACTGTGACGCACTGGTTTCGGTCCAAGAGGTAGCTAGTTATCCAGGCGAGTAGGGAGCCGGAGACACCATGGGCACGAAGTTTGGCGATCAGGCCCTTGTGCCACACGGTGTCGAAGGCCTTGGAGAGGTCGAAGAAACAGATGCAGGAGACCTGCCGCTGGTCTTTTAGGGAGCAGAGGTCTTGGATTATGCGGGATAATTGCAGGGATGTGTTGTCCTTACGACGGAAGCCAGATTGTGCGGGGTGAAGAAGAGGGGAGATATGGTCGTACAAGCGGTCGTACACTATTCTCTCTAGCAGTTTGGAGACGCAGGACAGGAGGGAGATTGGTCGGTAATTAGACGGGTTGTTCTTGTCGCCTTTATTTTTGTACACTGGAATGACAGTGGCTAACTTCCATCGTGACGGGAATGTGCCGGAGGAGAGGGAAAGGTTAAAAAGAATGGAGAGTGGGCGGGCAATTGAGTAGCTCAGTTTCCTGAGGATCTCATTGGTGATCCTATCAGCTCCGGGGGATTTGTTCAGAGGCAGTCTTGCAATATACTTGTGAACAGTCGATGAGGTGATGATCAGGGAGTGCAATGTAGTTGCTGGTGGAGGTAGAGAGGAAATAGTGGGAATAGGAGCATCGGGGTCAACCTGTAAGCCAGCACTAACGAAGTGGCGGTTCAATAAGTTACCAATGGATGCCGGAGAGGTGCTTGTTCGACCATTGGGGCCCACCGTCTTCGAAGGTATAACCCGGGCGCTGGTAGGATTTCGCAGTTGACGAATGAGCACAGGGAGGGATGGGAGGCGAGGGTTTGTGGGAGATATCGTGGCACGGAGGTTGCGGATGTAGCAGCGATGGCAGGATCTGGAAAGGCATTTTACATAGTTACGTTGGTGTTTGTATTTGTTGAAATTTGTAGGGGATGGGTATTTCCGGTAGATGCTGTAGAGATCGCTCTTGACTTTAATAGCTGCTTTCAGTGACGGAGTCATCCAGGGGCAGGGTTTGTGGCGTGATTTCCGACGAGGAGGTGAGGATCTTCCTATATATAGGTCCAAGGCACCTTCAAGGATGTCAGTGAATGCGGAGACAGCCGTGTCGATGCAGTGGGAGGCAAGGACCTGAGACCAGGGTACAGCTGCGAGAAAAACATTCATGGCATTCCACATGTTATCCGTGGCACTCAGGACATTGTATTTTTGTGTAGATGGTGGGCTACGGCAGGTGCTGGCTGCTGTGGGGGAAGACTTTGAGGAGGAGAACTCAGCCAGCAGGACGGCATGGTCTGATGCGCCAAGAGGAGCCAGGTGTTGAATGTGGTTGAGTTGGTTAGGGATGTTGCTCGCGATAAGGTCTAGACAGCTGCCAAGTCCATTCGAGCGGAGGTGGGTGGGAAGGGTTACCGATTGGGTCAAATTATAGCATGAGAAGAGGTTGTCAAGACTCAGACCCTGTGCATCCGTTTGGTCAGTTGAGCACCAGCCGGAATACCTACAGTTGAAGTCGCCTGATATCACAAGGGCTTCGGGCTTCCTTTGTGTTGATTGCAGGGCTATTTGGAGGCGGTCGAGAAAAGTCGAGAAGTCATCCGTCGACGGGGAAGGAGCACGGTAGATACAGGCTACTGTTAGGTGGGTTGTTGGCAGGTCAGAAGGTGAGACAAGCTTATGTTCAGCGAGTGTAAGCCGAAGTGCTAGCGCTTCCAAGCCCGGTTGCTGAAAATCCGGTAGCTGATCAATGGAAGTGCACAGACCTTCACGAACTAAGATTAGAACTCCTCCATACCCCCTGTGTGGGTCACGGTTCTGTCTATTTTCTAAAACAGGTCGGTCTCGACGGAAGCATTCATAGTGTGGCACGTGGAAAGCTTGTGTGGGAGTTAGCCAGGTCTCTGTGATGCATACTACGCTGGGTGTGTGATCTTCACAGATTTGAATGAGTTCGCCAGACTTGTTTGCTATGGAGCGAGCATTAAGGACACAGATTGTAAGTCGGTGAGTAGCAGCATGTACAGAATGGGGGAAGAAAGGTGGGGCAAGAGCGTTGAGAGGCGCAGGGGTTGAAGTGGAAGAGGAGGGATAAAGGTTACGCATTGGAAGCTGGCTTCGTCACTTTGGGGCTGTCCGCAAAACGCCACTTGCGTACTGAGTGGCTGATGGCTTCGGGCCAGAAGGCTCTGTCTAGTACACGCTCTTCATGTTCTGCAGCCACAGTGACTCTGGCATACGATGTGCCAAGGTATTTGGACTCCATGACGGAGCAATTTAATACCTCCACGTCCCTCGCTTCGCACCAGTCTCTGATGGAGTGAGCGTTGCAACCGCTGTTGATGCTTCCAACGTAGAGCACAAGTTTGTTGATGGGCACCACCCCTGTCAGGACGCACGGATCAGCAGGTTCCGTGTTAGGTGATTCCTTCACGTACCGAGAGGTTATAGTAGCCCGCAGAGCTTTGGATACGCTGTCCGTGAATTTGTCCTGCCGTCCTTTTCGTCTATGGTTCACCTCTTTCCACGTGTTCTGTGTTGGCTCTGTACTACATATGCCAGTGACCCCTGCTTCACAGCATTGTGTGTCGGCTGCGTGGACTGTACAACTACAAGTATCACTGGTGCATGCAGCACACATTGGGCTTTGTTGGGCAGGCTGGGTCTGGGTACTACTTGGACTTGTACCTTGTGGTGTTGCAGCATGCTGGGTGCGTACGGTATTACTGTAGGACTTCGCAGCTGGAGGTCCCATGGCCACGTTTTGTTGGGATGTGTACGTGGGTACGGTGTGTGGTAAGGGGTCAGGGATGGAACACTTCTGTTGACGAAGCTCTACTACTTCACGCCTCAGCTCTTGGATTTCCAATTTCAGGGCCAACATTGTGCTGTCTCTATCTTCCCTCGACATAACAATCTCCTTGGACAAGGTTGAAACACATGATACAAGGCTAGACAATTGTTCCAACGTACCGTTTGGACTTGCTGGCTGCGGCAGCACTCCCACGCCCATCTTCCGGAGTTCTTTGACGAGTTCCGGGCGAGAAAGGCTTGAGGGTTGGTCTACTGATTTCCGCTCGCCCAGGTCAATTAGGTCCTTGAATCCCACCAGGGCTAGGTCTAGATTCTCATCAAGTGACATCGTAAGGTACGCAAAGGTTTGGTCACTGCTTAAGGGATGCTGTAGGAGTGCCGCTGAGGCTGATCCTCAGAGCACGAAAACCGCCAACCGTCCCCAAAAACTTCAAATGTTGATTTGACCACACCCAAATCGATCGGGATAACCAAGGGAAACTTCCAAAATTCCACGTCGCGAATTTTCGTGCGGGACAGTCAACTCACGTAAAACACGTCAAATTGTACGTGATTTTTGCTTAGTAACAGCCTCTTTTACTGGCAAAAGCAACACAATGATGAGAAACCAGGGTATGATAGGAAGATAATATTAATAATAGCACAGAGGTATGGAAAATATGTCACCGGAGTGGCGAGAGTTTTACACAAAAACACAACTGGTTTTAGATCCGGCTTTCAGCCACCCCCAGCTCCCGGAGCTCGTTAGCTGGACGATGGTATGCCGACCGACACCCACGGACACACATGACAGCGGACCGGAGCAGCGCGAAGACAGCCTGCAGTGTACATATGCTACATGGTGTGCATAGGGCATGCTGGAATCAGCCCTGGCAAGCAAGCCACAGAGGCGCTTAAGGAACCTTTCACAATCAAGGGAAGCAACCCCAGACGTTGACAACACCAGCGGGCTGAATGTGCTACGATCCACATTAGGGATTTGCTCTCCGTACTGTAGCTTCTTCTGGCGCTCGTGCTCAAGCAGCAGGGCATCCAGTGGTTGGGCCAAGTAGGACGCCGCATCAGGATGGAAGACGCGTATGTCAAAAAAAAGCATCCTGTGCTCGGGTCCAAAAGCCACGGGCACGGACATCAGCGCGGGCATCCTCGGCGGTGTTTGCCTATGCAGCCGTAAACACCTCTCCAGAGAGTGGGGCTAGCTGAGGCTCGATTGCTACTGCCTGGCAGACCTCCGTGAGTAGCTCCCCTACCATGTCACGGACTTCGTTATGGCGGATTGTAGGGAAGCCACCCCGGGGGCAACACATGGCATGAGCCGTGGAGAACAGAACTCCGCAGGCACACTTCGTGAAGACATCGTGGAGAGCCAGTCATACCGCAATGCAAGGCCGTCCCTGACCTCCTGCTTCGAGAGGTGGAACCCATGTTCCTTCAGAGGAAGAGTAGTGAGCCAAGAAGAGGGGCCTTTGCGGGACAGCTCATCCATACGACGGGCCAAGGGGGCGGTCCGCAGCTTCTCGGAGAGCAGCGAAAGCGGCAGCACTAACTTCCTTGGAGGACTTGGCAGCAGATGCTCTCTCACGTCGGGCTAGCTGATCCACAAAGTCGCATAAATGATGCTGCCACTCTCTATCGTGCTGGTGGATGATCTCGTCAACCTGGCTGCTCGTGATGACTTGTGAGTTTTTTGAATTTTTGACGTAAAAGTTCACGTACCTAAGAAATTTACGTGAAACTAAACTCTCTATTGTCGTATTCCTAGTGGCGCTGTTTGGTGTATGGCGTGCCATTATGCACGCACGCATGCCTACTGGCGGAGTAGAAGCACAGTTGATTGAGGCACATAGCAGCGGTTGAACCACGTCTTCCTTGCTTTTACTCTTAGTTGTTGCTTCGTATTTTAAAGGATTCTCCAAATTTTAAAGGACGCTTATCATGGAAGTCTCCTGATAAATATAGCAAGAAAAATGGGAAAATGGGAGAATGAAGAGGGGAAGATGAAGCATGTAATAGTCAACAACTATAATATTGGAGAAAGGCCCGGGGGCATGGTGAAGGAAAGGCCCAGGGGGAATGATGAAGGAAAGGCCCAGGGGGCATGATGAAGGCAAAAAAGTAGAATAAAAAAGCGACAAGCTTCAGACTCTTGACAGGAAATATTTCAAAGGCTGTGCAAGAACCGCGGAAAGCGGTGGATTGTTTGCTCGTAAAGAGCCTGAAAGCCGTTCTTCATTTTCTTACTACAATTGCATTTCCCCAGAAAACCATAACCGCGAACGAGGACTTTAGAATTTTGAAAGGTTTTGGAGAACTTCAAATTCTAATGATATATCCCGTAAGCGAACTGCATTAAAAAATATGCAAATGTCGACCCCACCAGGATCGAGTCCTGGTGAATTCGGCTCTTCCTCGATTCAATAAATCTGCTATGTTTACATATGTTTACATACAAAAATGTTGTTTCATTTGCATGGATCTTTATGCACAGGTCGTGTCCAATCACAGCCGGCTTCTCCGCTTCGGCATCGGTTCTACGTATGAGCTGATTGAGGATTTCCACTTCACAACTAATGCAGCCATCAGTGGTATCGCCCTGGGTGGAGCAGTTGGATCGGTTGGCTACTTGCAATTCACCATGGTTGACGAGCCAAGTACTCGCAGCTCCACAGGGGCGAAATTCTCCCTGCGACTTCCATTCCGCCTGCGCAATTGTCACCATGGATACCTGGGACCAGTGACGATAAAGGTTTGTGTTGTGCTATGTCACTAAGGGTGCAGAAAGGATGTGAGAGACTGGTGAACATAGCGACATTTAAAATATTGTAGGACGCATCACGCAGCTTCATAATTAAAAATTGGTTTATGAGCAACACTGGCTCACAATCAATCACTGCTTTTCACAAATTCATTTCAGAAAAAAATTCAATTCAACGTTTCGGTCATAAAATAACCATCATCAGGAATGCGCGACATTGTGTACCAAAACGTTGCGTAGAAATTGAGACGGGAAGTATAATAATAATACTCATAAAAAGGACACACTTCAGGCTCATTACAAACATCTTGAAAGTTTTTGTCTTCACAAGTATACTTTCAAGCCTTCTCATCAGGTGAAATACAGGCAAGGGAAAGGAACAGGAACAGTGGATTAAATACAGTAAGAAGGTGGTAAAACAGCGCAAAAAGAAAGAAAGAAAGAAAGAAGATAGCTAAAGTAAACAGCGAAAATTGCAATAATGACACAAAGGTGCAAATGCGAGAAAACTCAATAAGCGCGACATGTAGTGCGACAACAAGAGACAACCACTGGACATACATGTAACTAACGAGGTTTTGACGACCTACCTAACAGCCTAAGTGTGAATTTGATTTGTTTCTGCTTGCAAAGGTTGGGTTTCCTTGTGTGGATGTATACAGCTTCCAAAACATTCAGCAATCTAGCACTGCGTACACGCGACACAATCGAAAAACAATCATCCGAATACACAGCACGACAATCAGGATGCTCAAACAAATGACTAGCAATGGACGACTCATACTTATCAGAACTAACATCAGAACAATCAGCATGTGCGGTGGACACATCCGATTTCACATGGCTAGTCGAGTGGACCCTAGCCGTTGCCTCTGTCTGTGCTGGTTTACCGACCATTCACCGAATGACAACTCACCGAAAGACACTTCAACGAAAGACACTTCAACGAAAGACAAATCATCGAATGGACAATCCACCGACTGGACAATTCACCGAAAGACACTTCACAGAAAGACATTTCTCCGAATGGCTATATCACCGTCAAGACAGCTCACCGAAATTCTACTGTAAATAATTGTAAGGACTGGTCAGGCTAACTTCACTGGCGCTCAGTTTCGCCGGGCTGAAATGCTGGCACTGACATACTGGCGCTGGTTGCACGTAATGTGGCAAATGTAGTACGTGTACAGTCAGACGTCGCATAACCAGTGAGTGCATGTGCATGTGTCGGGTTTGCGTGCAAAATTGACTACATTTCCACGGTTAATTTGTGACCAAAATGGTAAGCACAAAAATACGCAAGCGATCTATGAGGAGCTACTGCAGGTGCTAATTGGCCACAAGGAGGCTTTGGAGCCAACCACCGTCGTTACCGACTTTGAATTGGCAGCTATCAAAGCCTTTAAGGTGAAGTTTCCGGATGTAGTGACGAGAGGATGCTCTTTTCACCTCTGCCAAAAAATCTATCGGCATGTGCAGGCGTATGGCCTTCAAGAACGGTAGGGCCAAAATCCTCAGTTCGCTGTGCAAATTCGGATGTTGCCAGCATTAGCGTTTGTGCCCACAGGCGATGTTTGGAGGACTTTCTGCCAGATGAGGCGGGGGCCCTTGAAGTCGTTGCCTACTTTGAGCAATATTACATCTGAACGCCAAGACGAAATCAGTGGACAACGACGGACGCCAATGTTTCCGATCCCCCTGTGGAACGTTTACGAATGTAGCCTTGGTGGAGAGGACAGGACTAACAACGCTCACGGAGGATGGCAAAGGAGATTCACCTCAGTTGTTTCGTGCCGCCACCCGACGATATGGAAAGTTATCGGCGACTTTGTCCAGGAACAAAGCTCAACTGAACGTGAGGGCGGGAGGCTGTTGGCTGGCTACGGTGCAGCGAAAAGAAAGAAGAAATACGCAAACTGTGACAGAAGGCTGAGAACCCTACTTCACTCATTCGAGGTACGACCACCTTTGAATTCCTCAGAGGAATTGCACACAACCTGACCTTCAACGTTGTGGAGTGATTAGCTGGAATTGCAACATTTTCGCTGCTTGTCTATTGTTCCTCATTGATCTGCTCACCTCTGTATATACATGTAAATTGAAACCGCCTCGATAGGCTTAATGGCCTCTGGGGAATCCTTGAAATATATTTAAAAATTCAAAATTCTCCCTCCTTCTTTATTTTTTCTTTCTTTCGGTGAAATGTCTGTTCGGCGAATTGGCCGCTCGGTGAACTGTCATTCTGTGAGTTGTGCATTCGGTGAAATGGGCATTCTGTGAACTGGGTATTCGGTGAGCTGTCGTTCGGTGAGCTGTCAGTCGGTGAACTGTCGCTCGGTGAATTGTCGTTCGGTGATATGTCGGGACACCGTCTGTGCTTTAGTCGCTGCCATCGCCGCCGTTGCCGATCTTGTCATTCTTCTGGTTGATGCGGTTCCTGTCACTGCCACGCACGTAGGTGTCTTGTCCGGTTGTTTTTCTGGTGGTCTAGTTAATTGTGAGGTGACGTTGCTTGGTGTTGATGCCGCTGCGTTGGACCATCTTGTACCAGGATGATTCTTTGCTGGACGTCCCCTCCGTGGTCGAGTGGACCGTGCGTGTTGTGGAATAAGGTGTAGCGGTGCGTGTTGTCGGATGCGTGCGTCCAGATGTTGAAGAGTCCTACCTACATATCGGCTCTCACATTGCCGACACTCGAAGTGATAAATCAACTTGGATAATTGGCCTGTAGGTAGGACGTCCTTCCTCACCGTGAAGTATAATAAAAAAAGGAAGTATAATAAATAACTATTATCTTTTTTTCTTGTTTCCAGGGTGACAAAATATCAACGTTCGTGTGCGGATGTGGGCAAGAAAGATACACGGGAATATCGCGCTGCGCTGCAGGGAGGCACACGTATTTCAAGAAAGGCGTTTGGGCTGGCAAAATTGCCTCTCCAGTAGCTGCAACAAACGAAGATTTTCACAACGTAGAACCGATTTCTTTACCTCTTGTATCTGGCAATGACTCGTTCGAGGCCTCAACTTTCTACGGGGAGAGCATCATCTATCCGTTTTCATCAATGGCATGCCAAAACGGACTGTGCAGTGACCGAGAATGGCTGTATGGCGTGAATAGTCCGTGCAAGTTTCACGGCACTGGTCCACTGTGTGGAGGCTGCCTTAATGGAACCTCATTGACAATAGCAGAATCGGTAAGATATTGCTGGTGTAAAATGTGCAGTGGGCGAGTATGGGCCTTTGTGGAAAAAGCCGTCTACACGTTTCAGTCATCACTACTCGTACTTGAAGTGAGCATCACGTGGTTTAACCTTAATTTGGACGTAACGGCAAGGTTACATTGAAACATACATTATACATGTACATGTATGGAATGGCAGAAGTGGAGGAGAATCAGCGACAGCTTGAGCTTCTTCTGCATGGTGCTCTGCCGTCGTGTAAAGCCTCGACGTTGTGCACGGTCACTGAGTGTGTAGGTCTTGTTGTGTCGTCATAGGGCTGTGTGGATTGCAAGAATCGAGGAGTACTCAATGTCTACCTTCACATATTTCTCACCATGCTACTCACGCTGCTGCTCTTTCTCGTCATGTTCTACTTCAACTTTGGCCTCTCACCGCTGCTGGAGAGCTGGCTCTTCTTTATTCAGGTAAGTAAGACCCCCTCCCCAACTTCGAGAAAGTATTGCAAAGTACAACAGTGGTAATGGAAATTCGGTGCTGCCATCTTACATCTGTCCGTCAATTGTCAGTACCAGTATCTTTCGCAGTGTCATGTTTTTTTGTTTTTGTTTTTTTTGTTTTTTTTCCAAAAAAACACACACCATTTGACGGCACAAAGCAGCAAGGCAGCGATGAGACATATGGAATGGCAGGAGTGGGGGAGAGGCAGGGGCAGCTTGACCGGCCATAGGGTCTCGGCTTCATTGCAACCCAAGCGCTCCACAAAAACAACAAATTACAGAGAATACGCAGGGGGGGGGGGGGTAGATAACTGGGGATTACGGGGAAAAGTATGCACAATAAAAAGTTATCAGAGAGTCAACGAAGTGAATAGAGGAGGGTCATGTGCTCTGGTCGGCTCATACGAAACACCTACATTGTATTACCAGATTACTACTGGTGGTAATGTTGGTGATTTGGCTTAAGATTAAGAGTCCCTTTTATTTATTTATTGTTTGGCTTGCTGTGTTTTTCGGCCTACAGACGTCATGGTATGTTTTCCCGAAGAGTAACCCTAGAGTATACGGCATCTTCTACTCCATACTGACGTTTGGCCTGGGTAATCTGTGCCCGTCTACGCGGCTCGACCGAATGCAGATTAGTGCTATTCTGCTCGTGCAGCCAATGACGCTTCTCCTCATCTTCGTGTCTCTGAGAGTTGCGCGCTCCTACAATCGCCTGGGCACGCTGATAGCTCGCCGTACACAACATACATATTTAGTGCGAGTTATGTACTTCGCATTCGTGTATAGTTATTTCCTTCTGTGTTTCACTGCAATCAACATGCTCTGGTGTGATAAACTCAATGGCCATCTTGTGTTGGTCATGGACGGATCGATTAGATGTTTTCAGGGCGATCATATCGGCTATGCTGTGGCCGCAATTCTCATCTTGACCGTCCTCGTACTGTTGCCGCCGTTCATCCTCGTGTTGCCCCAAGCACAGGGTAATGTGTATCTGAAGGGCTTCATCGACGAGGCGTCGCGCATATACGGCGACCGGTACCGGCGATGGGCCGCCGTCGGTCTCCTGCGCCGCTTGGCCATCGCGCTGGCAGGGTCTCTCCTAGGCGGGGATGGCGTCGTTCGTCTGCTTGTCATGGCGCTAGTTCTGCTGATACTGCTTGTGAGCTATCACCAAGCGAGGTAAGTTACAGAGAGGAGATAATTATCGTTTTTTGTCAAACGAGTCATCGCTTGCAGATATGAAAAGTCTGAATCGAGTTTTCGGCAGAAATTTGTCGGCACGAAAAGCCGCCCTGATCAATGAGAATGATATGACTGAAATGAAGTATTGATGCAGTGGGAACGAAACAAGTCGAAAAGGTGCAACCTATGCAGAATCGAGAAGCTTACTACACTCAACAATGCCACGAACCCGCAGAGCGTGAAACAAAGAAGCGAACTAGTGCCAAAATGCCACCACGATAACAAATATTACACAAAACAAAACTTCACACGTAGCGTGACGTAATAGAAAAAGTATTAGCAGCAGCCGCGAAAGGACAGTGCCCAACACAGTCCTGACAGGTTTTGGCATAATTATGTCAGTGCCAATACACTGTACTTTATCACTGATTTCTCACGATCTTGACTCGTTTGGCATACGTCAGTGCTAACATTTGACTTATCCCTTACCTCATCCATAAAGTCTGTGTGATACTGGCCTTCATTCGTGAGTCGCGTAGAATAATGCCAGTTCTTAAAGGTGCCAAGTATCACGCATGATCTTATTCATAACGATTAGTCTTAGGACTTAGTATCAGCAGTCTGTTGATTACAGTAGCGTGAAACTTTGAGTTATGACAAATACGAACTGGTTCTAACTCTCTTTTTCGTGTGAAACGCTTTTGCAATTTGTGCATTGAGCAATTTGATGACAATTGCTAAAATGACTCCCTTGTAAGTAAAATGAGAGTCATAAATATACTGCAGTACTCTCTGTCTCTATCTCTTTTCTTCCTCTCTCTGTCTCTATCTATCTATCTATTTATCTATCTACACAGAATGAAGAACGAGCAGTGGCTGGTCCGATCTCTAGAACAATTGTATCTATATATCTATAATTATCTCTTTCTCCCCCTCTCTCTCTCTCTCCCTCTCTTTCTCTCTCTCTCCCTCTCTCGCTCTATCTATCTCTTTCTCTCCCTCCCTCTCTCTCTTTCTCTCTCACTCTATCTCTCTCTCTATGTATCTATCCAAGTATCTATCTATCTATCTCTATCTCTATCTCTTTCTCTTTCTTTCCCTAACTCTCTCTCTCTCTTCCTCTCTCTGTATCTCTGTCTCTCTCTCTCTATCTCTCTTTCGTTCTCTCTCCATGAATCTATCTTTCTCTCTCTATCTCCCGCTTTCTGTCTGTCTCTCACCCTCACTCTCTCTCTCACTCACTCTCTCCCTCTTTCTCTCTCTCACTCTCTCTCTATCTATCTATCTATCTCTGCCTGTCTCTGTCTCTGCCTCTCTGTCCCTCTGTCTCTCTGTCTCCGTCTCTGTCTCTGCCTCTCTCTCTCTGTCTCCGCCTCTCTCTCTGTCTCTCTCTTTCTGTAAGGAGGAAAACTTTCTTCTGCCAGTTTCGGATATAAGAGGAGCAGTAGGCAGTAGGCAGGAGGCCTTCTTTCCCGATCTGATATCACTGGTTGAAGTGCCTCTTGGTTTTCTTGCGTGTGCGTTTCATTGCAGGCCGTTCGGTGACGGGACATTTGCCCGCTTATCGTATAACGGCTGGGAATTACTGCTCCTGCTTCTAGCCTTCTGCAACAGCATCCTGTACGTCGTAGCAGGTTTGTCAGCAGTGTATGAAGCAGCGATTGAAGTGGCTACTCTTTGCCTGTTTTACTTGCCAACGCTCGTGTTGCTCTTGGCATGTGCGCACCGTCAGTGTTGGTCACCGCAGGGAGGTTTCGGCCGCATCGAACACATCTCCCTTCGCAAGTGGTGGATGAGGAGAGCAGCGACATCTGCGGAACTGCAGGAGAGCGGACGTTCACCTCCACCCCTGAATGCTGCTGCGTACGATAACCTGATGGAGGAAATCAGGGAGCCGCTTATCGCCGACCAGATCATGCTGGATCAGAAAAACAAGAAGTGAAACAAGAGCTCTTTGTCTCCTACGCGTTTCTGTAATACAATGCATGCATGTCCACCAACACAGATTGTTTACAGCACACATGGTCCTTTTTGGTGCTGTAACTACGAACTGTCCCAAAACCTGTTTCTTGTCTATTCCTGTTTTTTGAGAGCAGTATGATGATTCAAGGTTTGGTTCTTGTTCGACGTGTTAATACTTGCAAGGTATTTTACGTTCTAGAAGCCGTGTATGTTCCTCTCCGTAATCCGGATCTATATCAAGTGAAGGAAAATGTCACACCACTCACTATTCCTGTAAACTACATGTACGGCTCACTCTTAGGGCGCGTTCAGACTGCCGTGAATGAGGTTAAACCGTGATTGGCGATAAACCGTGAAGGACATTAGAACTACCCATAAACTACCGTAACGTTACCGTTACGTAAGTTTTGAAGCTCTCACCGCGGCACTGAGAAGGGATTTTCAATATGTATTCAGCACATACGATTGTATATGAAACCCACCATCTACATGTATCTCTTTTTCACATCTAGACCGCTAGCGCTATCGTTCACATCCAGTAGTTATTGCCGTTGTTTTTGGCACATTAAACACCTCTTGCCCGAACGTATAAATCCTTAGGTTGTTTCCCCTTTCCATTTATTCACGCTATTCAACTGATGATTGTGACGAGAAAACGTTCTGAACACAGAATACTTTGGTTGCAATGTTTGTGAAGCGACTATTATGAGAGCACATTTATCATAATTCATTGCTATAAAGAACAAGAATCTCTTCCAGCCATGCCTGGGCGCTTCCTGTATCAGAGTTGGGCTTTATGTGATTAAATCAATAAGTCAACACGTTTTCTAGGTTTACATGTATGCTCATTTTTGGCTGCAAAATATATTATAAAATCTACGTGGAGATAAAAGTTTTTAATAATAGCTACGAAAGGTATGAATGCCGCAGACATCACCACGCAACATGGTCATGGTGCGTGGTGATGTCTGCGGCATTCATACTTTTCATAGCTATTACTAAAAGTTATTATGATCATTATTGATGACTGTGAATAACGATCAGATTCTGCGTTATACAATAATGTACTTGAAGTACATGTTCATGTATGGCAAGCTGCTTCACGTTATGATTTTGCATTTGAAAGCCCTACTGTAAAACATGTAAATTTAGGTGCATTAACAATTCGGTGCCAGGGACCTGCCAAGTTTCAGGTGTAATTTTGAATTAGGCGACCAGGATTCCCTTCACATACAGACTGTAGTAGTAGTAGTAGTAGTAGTAGTAGTAGTAGTAGTAGTAGTAGTAGTAGTAGTAGTAGTAGTAGTAGTAGTAGTAGTAGTAGTAGTAGTAGTAGTAGTAGTAGTAGTAGTAGTAGTAGTAGTAGTAGTAGTAGTAGTAGTAGTAGTAGTAGTAGTAGTAGTAGTAGTAGTAGTAGTAGTAGTAGTAGTAGTAGTAGTAGTAGTAGTAGTAGTAGTAGTAGTAGTAGTAGTAGTAGTAGTAGTAGTAGTAGTAGTAGTAGTAGTAGTAGTAGTAGTAGTAGTAGTAGTAGTAGTAGTAGTAGTAGTAGTAGTAGTAGTAGTAGTAGTAGTAGTAGTAGTAGTAGTAGTAGTAGTAGTAGTAGTAGTAGTAGTAGTAGTAGTAGTAGTAGTAGTAGTAGTAGTAGTAGTAGTAGTAGTAGTAGTAGTAGTAGTAGTAGTAGTAGTAGTAGTAGTAGTAGTAGTAGTAGTAGTAGTAGTAGTAGTAGTAGTAGTAGTAGTAGTAGTAGTAGTAGTAGTAGTAGTAGTAGTAGTAGTAGTAGTAGTAGTAGTAGTAGTAGTAGTAGTAGTAGTAGTAGTAGTAGTAGTAGTAGTAGTAGTAGTAGTAGTAGTAGTAGTAGTAGTAGTAGTAGTAGTAGTAGTAGTAGTAGTAGTAGTAGTAGTAGTAGTAGTAGTAGTAGTAGTAGTAGTAGTAGTAGTAGTAGTAGTAGTAGTAGTAGTAGTAGTAGTAGTAGTAGTAGTAGTAGTAGTAGTAGTAGTAGTAGTAGTAGTAGTAGTAGTAGTAGTAGTAGTAGTAGTAGTAGTAGTAGTAGTAGTAGTAGTAGTAGTAGTAGTAGTAGTAGTAGTAGTAGTAGTAGTAGTAGTAGTAGTAGTAGTAGTAGTAGTAGTAGTAGTAGTAGTAGTAGTAGTAGTAGTAGTAGTAGTAGTAGTAGTAGTAGTAGTAGTAGTAGTAGTAGTAGTAGTAGTAGTAGTAGTAGTAGTAGTAGTAGTAGTAGTAGTAGTAGTAGTAGTAGTAGTAGTAGTAGTAGTAGTAGTAGTAGTAGTAGTAGTAGTAGTAGTAGTAGTAGTAGTAGTAGTAGTAGTAGTAGTAGTAGTAGTAGTAGTAGTAGTAGTAGTAGTAGTAGTAGTAGTAGTAGTAGTAGTAGTAGTAGTAGTAGTAGTAGTAGTAGTAGTAGTAGTAGTAGTAGTAGTAGTAGTAGTAGTAGTAGTAGTAGTAGTAGTAGTAGTAGTAGTAGTAGTAGTAGTAGTAGTAGTAGTAGTAGTAGTAGTAGTAGTAGTAGTAGTAGTAGTAGTAGTAGTAGTAGTAGTAGTAGTAGTAGTAGTAGTAGTAGTAGTAGTAGTAGTAGTAGTAGTAGTAGTAGTAGTAGTAGTAGTAGTAGTAGTAGTAGTAGTAGTAGTAGTAGTAGTAGTAGTAGTAGTAGTAGTAGTAGTAGTAGTAGTAGTAGTAGTAGTAGTAGTAGTAGTAGTAGTAGTAGTAGTAGTAGTAGTAGTAGTAGTAGTAGTAGTAGTAGTAGTAGTAGTAGTAGTAGTAGTAGTAGTAGTAGTAGTAGTAGTAGTAGTAGTAGTAGTAGTAGTAGTAGTAGTAGTAGTAGTAGTAGTAGTAGTAGTAGTAGTAGTAGTAGTAGTAGTAGTAGTAGTAGTAGTAGTAGTAGTAGTAGTAGTAGTAGTAGTAGTAGTAGTAGTAGTAGTAGTAGTAGTAGTAGTAGTAGTAGTAGTAGTAGTAGTAGTAGTAGTAGTAGTAGTAGTAGTAGTAGTAGTAGTAGTAGTAGTAGTAGTAGTAGTAGTAGTAGTAGTAGTAGTAGTAGTAGTAGTAGTAGTAGTAGTAGTAGTAGTAGTAGTAGTAGTAGTAGTAGTAGTAGTAGTAGTAGTAGTAGTAGTAGTAGTAGTAGTAGTAGTAGTAGTAGTAGTAGTAGTAGTAGTAGTAGTAGTAGTAGTAGTAGTAGTGCATTCGTGTTGTGACCGAGGGTGCTCGTTATCTTGGCGGCGCACTCGGTACAACGGTCTTCTGTGAGGAGTATATCACAGATTTGATCGACAAGTGGACGCTGCAGGTTGATCGCCTGGCGGAGGTGGCCACCACTCAGCCACATGCTGCGTACGAGGTGTTTGTAAAGGGCCTCGTGTCCAAGTGGCGGTGCCACTTGCGCGTCCTATCTTGCCCTGCGCATCTTCTGGCCCGTCTCGACGCCGCCATTACGGACAAGCTGCTGCCAGCGCTCAGCGGCCATTCGTGTTCGGACGAGTCGGCACTGAGAAAGTTGCTATCGCTACCAGCGCGGTTTGGTGGCATGGCAATCCCTGTGCCCTCGGTGGAGGCCGAGAAAGAGTTTTCTGCATCCAGACAGATTGTGGCTCCTGTGGCGGCCTGCATAAAACCACCAGAACATCCAACAAGCACCAACGAAACTACTCAAACAGACCAGCTGAACGAGGCAATAGCCCTCAGCCGGCAGGAGGCCGGGCGTATTCGCAGAGAGAAAGCTGCCCAAGCCACGGGTCTCGTTAGCGAATTGCGCCCGGATTTGACAGCAACACAGGCGCTGTTGGTGGAGAATGCCGCGGAAAAGGGCGTATCATCTTGGGTAACGGCGGAACCATCGTCCCAAATGCAGATGGTGCTGAACAAATCGGATTTCCGAGATGCGTTCTGCATCCGCTACGGCCTGCAGCCTGACGGACTCCCCCTGACTTGTGTATGTGGTGCTGCAAACACAATAGACCATGCGATGATGTGTCCGGCAGGGGGCTACCCCGTGGCACGCCACAATGAGATCCGGGACTTGTTGGCTGACGTGATGCGTGAGGCGGTCCGGGATGTGGAGGTGGAACCGCCTCTACTACCATATGATGGTGAGCGGCTCCAAGGGAGGACAGCCAACCGCTCGGCAGGTGCCCGCCTGGACATCCGGGCTTGTGGCTTCTGGACGAGACAGCAAGATGCCTTTTTCGACATCCGGGTTACACACCCAAAGGCAAGCTTGCTGTCGCGTCAGGAAGTCATCAGCCAGCTCCGAACGCAAGAACGGATGAAGAAGCGCCAGTACGGAGAGCGGGTGACAGCAGTTGACAGAGGTACGTTTACACCTCTAGTTTTTTCTACCTCGGGCATGATTGGCAGAGAATGTTCAATGGCACTGAAGACACTGGCATGCCTGATTGCTGAGAAGAACGTCGACCTACACGTATCGGTTATCATGGGTCAGCTCCGTTGTAAGCTGTCAGTCTGCCTTATGCGATGGGCAGTCACCTGTTTGCGTGGTTCAAGATCGTCATACCGCCGCAACAGGATGAATTTCACGACGATGTGCAGGTTGCGGGCAGCCTGAGCGTGATAGTACCTGACAGACATTTGCCCAACATTGCCCCATGATAATGAATTCTTGAGTTTTTGGACATTGTATTGCATTGCTGCTCCATCTACATGGCTGTATTTGTGTTTCACATCTCCATTTCAAGTTTCCTAATAAAGATTGTGTCAAGTAGTAGTAGTAGTAGTAGTAGTAGTAGTAGTAGTAGTAGTAGTAGTAGTAGTAGTAGTAGTAGTAGTAGTAGTAGTAGTAGTAGTAGTAGTAGTAGTAGTAGTAGTAGTAGTAGTAGTAGTAGTAGTAGTAGTAGTAGTAGTAGTAGTAGTAGTAGTAGTAGTAGTAGTAGTAGTAGTAGTAGTAGTAGTAGTAGTAGTAGTAGTAGTAGTAGTAGTAGTAGTAGTAGTAGTAGTAGTAGTAGTAGTAGTAGTAGTAGTAGTAGTAGTAGTAGTAGTAGTAGTAGTAGTAGTAGTAGTAGTAGTAGTAGTAGTAGTAGTAGTAGTAGTAGTAGTAGTAGTAGTAGTAGTAGTAGTAGTAGTAGTAGTAGTAGTAGTAGTAGTAGTAGTAGTAGTAGTAGTAGTAGTAGTAGTAGTAGTAGTAGTAGTAGAATTTATTATTTTACTAGGGAACTCCCAACAGGCGTTGCCCTTTTACTGGGAACCCTAGGAATGACTTGGTGCTTGTGAAAATGCAGAAAGGGGCTTTAGAACGCATGAACGGATGAAGAAGCGCCAGTACGGAGAGCGGGTGACAGCAGTTGACAGAGGTACGTTTACACCGCTAGTTTTTTCTACCTCGGGCATGATTGGCAGAGAATGTTCAATGGCACTGAAGACACTGGCATGCCTGATTGCTGAGAAGAACGTCGACCTACACGTATCGGTTATCATGGGTCAGCTCCGTTGTAAGCTGTCAGTCTGCCTTATGCGATGGGCAGTCACCTGTTTGCGGGGTTCAAGATCGTCATACCGCCGCAACAGGATGAATTTCACGACGATGTGCAGGTTGCGGGCAGCCTGAGCGTGATAGTACCTGACAGACATTTGCCCAACATTGCCCCATGATAATGAATTCTTGAGTTTTTGGACATTGTATTGCATTGCTGCTCCATCTACATGGCTGTATTTGTGTTTCACATCTCCATTTCAAGTTTCCTAATAAAGATTGTGTCAAGTAGTAGTAGTAGTAGTAGTAGTAGTAGTAGTAGTAGTAGTAGTAGTAGTAGTAGTAGTAGTAGTAGTAGTAGTAGTAGTAGTAGTAGTAGTAGTAGTAGTAGTAGTAGTAGTAGTAGTAGTAGTAGTAGTAGTAGTAGTAGTAGTAGTAGTAGTAGTAGTAGTAGTAGTAGTAGTAGTAGTAGTAGTAGTAGTAGTAGTAGTAGTAGTAGTAGTAGTAGTAGTAGTAGTAGTAGTAGTAGTAGTAGTAGTAGTAGTAGTAGTAGTAGTAGTAGTAGTAGTAGTAGTAGTAGTAGTAGTAGTAGTAGTAGTAGTAGTAGTAGTAGTAGTAGTAGTAGTAGTAGTAGTAGTAGTAGTAGTAGTAGTAGTAGTAGTAGTAGTAGTAGTAGTAGTAGTAGTAGTAGTAGTAGTAGTAGTAGTAGTAGTAGTAGTAGTAGTAGTAGTAGTAGTAGTAGTAGTAGTAGTAGTAGTAGTAGTAGTAGTAGTAGTAGTAGTAGTAGTAGTAGTAGTAGTAGTAGTAGTAGTAGTAGTAGTAGTAGTAGTAGTAGTAGTAGTAGTAGTAGTAGTAGTAGTAGTAGTAGTAGTAGTAGTAGTAGTAGTAGTAGTAGTAGTAGTAGTAGTAGTAGTAGTAGTAGTAGTAGTAGTAGTAGTAGTAGTAGTAGTAGTAGTAGTAGTAGTAGTAGTAGTAGTAGTAGTAGTAGTAGTAGTAGTAGTAGTAGTAGTAGTAGTAGTAGTAGTAGTAGTAGTAGTAGTAGTAGTAGTAGTAGTAGTAGTAGTAGTAGTAGTAGAATTTATTATTTTACTAGGGAACTCCCAACAGGCGTTGCCCTTTTACTGGGAACCCTAGGAATGACTTGGTGCTTGTGAAAATGCAGAAAGGGGCTTTAGGTTTGACGACATCCAGGTGGAAGCATGTTCCATCTGTCTGCTGCCAAAACTGAAATAGCATTCAGGCCGTAACGAGACGTAGCTCTGGGTAGGTTCAGAGTGGCTGAAGCTTGACTTGTCAGTGCATACTCCAGTGCCTTTTAGGTGTAATTTAAATTTAGGTGCCTGGTGTCTCCACCGAAATCATTGAAATTAAAGTTACACCGAAAATTGCATGTTTTACAGTATTTGAATATTGTTGCCACCTGTCTTTGGTGGTAGGGTACGGAACAGGTACGGGATAGTGCCAGGCATGCCGACGGCACAAACACACACGCAATTAAAGCTGTGTGGACCCTGGCTAGCGCCAGATGTTAATGAAGTTACGTGTTTTCCATAGCTAATGGGAATAATGTACATACATGTATATCTGCACGCTGTAGAGGCACTAAAACATCGATTTTCTGCGAACTCAGTGCCAAATTTGTGAATTCGGCGCAATTATCGGCGATTTCTTCCCAGCCATTGATTTCGGCGTGTTTTCCCGCTAGCCGATTTCGGAAATGCCTAAAGTCGCAGTCACCTCTCACAATATATTATAATGGTAACAGAAATTGTAATAGCATGCTGTAGAGGCACCAAAACACCCATTTTCTGCGAATTCAGTGCAAAAATACATATTCGCCGAAAAGATCGGGGATTTCTTCAAAACCACTGTTTTCGGCGAATTTTCCCGCTGGAAGATTTGGGAAATACCTAGTGAGGACAAGGTGCATAAAAAGGATTGACGGCATCAGGTTATCCGTCCCAGGATCCAACTGCAGTTACCCCCAGCCCCCGGTGAAGGTAATACTTTCTACTTGTGTGGGTGGCTAAATCAAAGTGGATCTGATATGAGCTTCACTACCACCATTGATTACACAAGAGTTAATCTAGCCAGAAGCAATCCATGGTTAACACACACATACACACATACACACACACACACACACACACACACCGGAAACGGCAAAGTTTCAAAGTGTCTGTCTTCCGGCACCTCCGTGCTGAGCAAAGGCACTGGGCCACTGACACTCGGTAATATGTATGCACATCTGCCTACACACTGCTGCACCTTGCCATACGTCTCGTGCCCTGCTTATCCCATTCTCTGGATCTGAATGTGCACCCCTTACGCATTATATAATTATACTGTATTTAGTTCTCTCCCCCTCCCTTGCTTCCCAACCCTCCCCCGCTCTCTCTCTCTCTCTCTCTCTCTCTCTCTCTCTCTCTCTCTCTCTCTCTCTCTCTCTCTCTCTCTCTCTCTCTCTCTCTCTCTCTCTCTCACTCTTTCTCTCTCTTTTTCTCTCCCTCTCATTCTCTTTCTCTCTCTCTAACTCTCTCTCTCACACTCTTTCTCTCTCTCTCTTTCACTCTCTCACTCTCTCTCTCTCACACTCTCATTCTTATTCTCTGCCTGTCTGTCTGTCTGCCCGTATGTTTGTCTACCTGTATGTCTGTCTGTCCGTCTGTTTGTCTGTCTGTCTGCCCGTTTGTTTGTCTATCTGTCTGTCTGTCTGTCTGTCTCTCTCTCTCTCTCTCTCTCTCTCTCTCTCTCTCTCTCTCTCTCTTAACTATAGTATATATCTCACATGCCGAGACCCAATGTCGGCAGAGCATCCCAGCCCCTCCACCACTACCCTTATTCATGGCTCACACATGACAGATTTACGTGGCTTTAGTAAAAAAACACACACACAAAAACCACTTGCGAACAGAGATTTACTAAAACAGAAGTTGACGTGATTGTTAGACAAATTCTAGTGGCAGCCTATAATACTATAGCCTATTGCTGGAGAGATGCTAGCATACTAAAACAGAAGTTGACGTGATTGTTAGACAAATTCTAGTGGCAGCCTATAATACTATAGCCTATTGCTGGAGAGATGCTAGCATGTACATGTAACTATGACTTGTTACGTAAGGCAGCGAAGAGATGAATAGGATTTAGCATATTGGTACATTGATGTATACTGGCTATCAGACTTTTGACATAATTGCCCAAGCAAATCCCTGTAAGAGTTTAAACCTGGGAGATACTGAACGAAAAGGTTGTGGTACACGCTCCAAAACATAAAGGATAAGGGACTTTAAAAGCATGCAATACAGATTAGGATAGGCGCATGCTCTCATAGAGCGGGCCTTGGTTTGTGTCGGCCCTAGTCGGAGTCAACACGTACGCTTCATTCTTGGTCATTCGGTTTTCAAGCAAGGTCTGTGGTATGATGCCGTTGTTCTCCATCACCGTGACGGTCCTAGCCGTACGTCGGCGGTGCACCATATAAATCACTACCAACCCACCAAGGAGAAGCAAGCCGACAACAAAGCCAATGGCCGCCGCTATAATGGCGGTCGTTGTACGCGATGACGATGCTTCTTGCTCTAAAGATATGCAGAAAAAAATATAATTATGGGAGTGAAGGAGAATAAATTAGGTTAAGACCACAGAATCCGCGACTACAATCTCTTTGCACCATCAGATATACATGACATATTCATGGTAATTTGAAGTAAGAACTAAGGTGGGGAGCCAAGGGCATAATAATTATAATACATTAAAAATAGTTGGTGGAGTTTAAAGCATAACTTGTGGGCCACACTATTTCCGTGATTTCAATTTATAGTCCTTTGAGGAGTGCTCATTCACATGGCATTTTCACACTCCTATTCCGTCTTTCTCTCTATTGCATAAGTGTAACAGGCTCTGCCTTTGACATTATATTTTGGGTGAACATGGCAAATGACGTGACTGGAGATATGAGTCTACGCTTTCCTGGGACACTTTGGATGGTTAGGATGTGATGTGACATAGACAGGTATTGCCTGTCAGGTTAACGTATTGCAGGTGATCAATCGAGACCGCTGGATCGTCTTTGGACTACGCAATGAAGACAGTGCCGCACGCAGGATACCCCTAGCTCAGAGATGACAGTTGCACACTCTTGGCACTATGCACGCTTGCTTTTCAGCTTAACTTACGCAGAGTGAAAAAATAACAACTCACCCAGCACTGTGAGATATGCCGTAGCCATGGAAACGCTAACTGCGTTATTGGCCGTGCAAGTGTACGCACCAGCATCTTCCAGGACATTAATAACAGTGAACGTGATGACACTTATCAACACCAAGGGGTCTTCAGGCACGGTCAACGTGAGAATCTGAAACCTGTTCGAGTTGGCAGAGGCCGGGGTACTCCAGAGTAAAACCTGTTCGAGTTGGCAGAGGCCGGGGTACTCCAGAGTATGGTTGGCAACGGTTTCCCTCGAACCCGGCACTCCAGCCGTCCTCGCTGATCTGTGTATATCGACACGTTGTTGAGCTCCAGTATTTCCAGAGCTGCATCTGGGAAAGGTACAATGATAAACATATCTTTCATCATCCTAGATAATTGTCTTCATCATCAGTAACTTGAAAGCTGCAGCACAATACGGAACCTTCTCAATGCTCTTCGAACACAACACATCATGACAACAACAGCAGGAGTAGATTTGATAATTGTACAAGGATAAATTAATCAGCTGTTCAGTTAAAATAATGCGATGAAAATGGTGCGAGTGATGTACATATACATACACTGTAGCCATAGACCTACCCAGGACCTAGGCTCATTCACTCTCCTTCGCACTCTCTTTCAATCTCCGCCTCCTCTTTCGAAATCTCTCTACCTCGCTTTCGCTGTGTCTCGTTCTCTCTGTCTCTCTTTCTCTCTCTCTCTCTCTCATCTTTCTCATCTGTCTCATCTGTCTCGTATGTCTCCTTGTCTATAATTATCTCTGTCTGTATTTCTGTCAAGTAAGGTGGGTGTTTTAGTGAGAAAAGAAGAAAAGATCGAAAAAGAGAGAGAGAGAGAGAGAGTGTGTGTGAGAGACAGAGAGAAAATCGGCAGCAGGTGTATATTTCACGAGACACATGAGTAAAAGGCACATAGCTACAGTATATATTTGTGTAACCTGCGTAACTCTCCATTCCTTCCTACACACCAAGCAGAACATGCAGGTTAAAATCAATACGCAGGACTAGTTCTCACCTGTTCTTTGCACTGGTTGATAGGCTGAAGCTGTTATGCCTGAGATTATCTGCACAGAAACAAAACAAAAAGACGAGAATGACACAAATCACGGGTTCATTCACGAGTGTGTCTGGACCGGCGACAACGGTTACTAGTTTCCGATTGGCGACCAGACAGATAGCGGCTGCCATTTGCCGTAAATCAACGGAACGCATTAGAATCCACAGCAATCTTCTTCGACGGCACGAAGCGTACCAGTCCGCCGCACATCCTCACACTTGTCCAGCTAACTGAGATCGCTACCAACAGTTGATTATATCCATGGATTATGCCATGAGTAAGAGAGGACATACTGTCGAATAGTTGTGAAGCACAAGGACAGTGGACACACAGAGTACGAATGGTGTAATCAGTAAATCCCTAGTAAGGAGGGTGACCAACACTACATTTCTCATATTTGCTTTTGGCATGATGCATGTGAATTGGGCAGGGTTTGTCACTGGAGCGTCGTGTGATTTTTTGCAACCCAAGCGGGCATTATTGGCTGCAATCAATCAATAGAGTGCAGTACCAGGGGTAATTTGCGGATGACAGTTTCCCTATCACACGCCTATGTTGAAGAAGCACCAAGGAAGACAGCGATATACAGCTACCTCTCTTTGCTGTTGTTTTTGGGAGGCGGAGGGGGTGCAAGAGTGATGCAGTCGTCTCCCTTGACCAAAGGTATCGGTTTACTAGCAAATGCACAAATACTTGAGAAAGGAATAATAAAAAATGTAACATGGAAATTGTGGGCACACTGTGGGCAAATGTTACAATTTTTGCCCTTGGTTCACCATCTGAATTCTTTTATAAAAGAATATAAAGGTGCACATCCATTTAGACTCACCACTATTGCACCAACTTACAGTCTGTCGTTTGCGCCGTGACGTAAACGCCGCCGCAGATGCTTCGTAGAAGATGGTGTACGAACGATCGGAAACCAGTGGGCCATTCCGCACGCCCGACACTGTTGTCATCATGTCCGCGCCTGACGTGAACTGCATTGTCTGACCGCTGCCGAACGTGAAGACGGCCGCATAGTAAGCAGCGCGGGGCGTGCTGAACGTGCCTTGATCGCGTACCTGTTCATATGTCAAGACGTTGGCTCCGTTGGCGTACGTGAAGCCAGGCGACTCGGAAAAGTCCACAGTGGATGGATCGGTGCCGAGATCCACAACTACAATACGGTAGTTTCTGCAGAACATGGTCACAAGTAGAACATGGGAAACACTACAACTCAAATACAGTCATAGGGTTCAAACCAAAGGGAAGTAAGCCCCGGGGGGGGGGGGGGGTGCAAAGTCCACAGTGGATGGACATGTCCCGAGATCCAGAAGTACAATGCGGGTGATTCTGCAGATTACGATTACAGGTAGAACATTGGAAGTGCATAAAACTCAATCAGAACCCGAAGTCTGATTTGCTCTTAAAAAGAATTTCAGAAGAAAATCGAAGCAGACCATAGAACTCAGATGGCGAGCCAAGGAAAAAAATTGTAACATTGAAATTGTGGGCACAAGTTATGCGATCGAGTCCACCAACTAAACCAGATTTTTGAACAGCCACTCAGCCAGACGTGCACAGTCTAGCACAAAACTGACAAAGAGTACTGGTCTGAGTGTTCAAAATCTGGTTTAGTTGGTGAACTCGATAGCAGCCAATAGAAGAACAACAATACTAGAAAGGTCACAGCAGGCATGCACTGTGTGGCAAGTCAACAAATTTTAATGATGACACACAGGTACAGACACCACAGCTGAGTGGCTCTTAATCTCCCTAGCAACACGACGGGACTTACATGAGTGAGGTATCTGGGAATCTGGTGATAGTCCAGGTCAGGGTATTGGGCGTAGGTGCTACCGGTGGAACAAAGCCTTCCAAAAGGTTGGACACTGGAATGACCATTATGAAAGAGGGAGGAAACTAAATCATTTAGAGATTTTCTCGTCATTTTCCAATGTATACGTGAACAAGCAATGTCCTGGAACTATAACTTTGCTGCGATGTTTATGATACGAGCATCCATAATTAGAATTTCATTTTTTCATTGCTATTCTACTCATAAGATCAGCGATAACATTCTCTGAGGTACCAGTGGAGAGATTAAAGATTCAGACTTGCAGGGAACAATACAAAAGTTGGCTTCTATTGAAGACGCCAAGTCAGAAGTAGGGACTGGCGGATTCTGCTCGAAAAGGTGGCAGATTCTGCTCAAAAAGCAGTGAAATCGGCAGAACCATACAACCCTTATGGCGGGCAATTCCTCGAATTCTGCTCCATTTCTTCATCCACATACCAAACATGCATGAAACTTACCAGAAAAAGTACCGAATTCTGCCAATTTTTCTACCTGGAGAATCCGCCGGACCCTAGTCAGAAGTATGATCGTTCCATGAACACATCCGCCATTTCCAAATCCCCCAAATGTGTACAACCCCACAAAAGGTGTGTATGTGGGGGGGGGGGGTAACACACTGCCTCACCTGTAATACAATTCGATGAGTCGTTGGCATAGAAACCAGACTCACAGTCACACCTGAAGGTGCCCGCCATATTTTGGCACAGCTGGTTGGTACTGGGGCAGGCTGGTGGTGACTGCAAGCATTCATCAGTATCTGCGCACATCTGTCCAGTGCCTGTGTAGCCTGATAGGCATGCACATATGAAACTACCAACTGTGTTTGTGCAGCTAGCAAACTCTGCAGGAAACAAACAACACCGTGGACACCCACGTGCAGGCACACATACGCAAATGTGCACGTGCGGACGTACACACACATGCACATACACACACGCACACACACACACATATAAACACACACTACTACTACTACTACTACTATGTACAGCTACCCTATCGGGCCACGCCGCTCCCAGAAGCGGGAGACAACGACAAGAAGAGAGAAGAGAAGAGAGAGAAATCGCAAAGTCAACAATATTTGGCATGGCGTTGCAAGTCCTGTGGCCACACACGCACACACACACACGCACGCACACACACACACACACACACACACACACACACACACACACACACATACACGCACATCACGGTTGGAGAGAGATAAACAGAAGGGCCACTCAATAATGAAACTGTCCAGAATCAACGGCGCCATTTCAAAATGGACATGAGTATAATAATTATGATTCACCTAGAAAACATGCTGAAAAAGTTGTATTGCATACAAAGGAACCGTGGTCACTGGTTAAGTCAATGTTGTGCGGATTAGCAGATTTTACAAGGCCAGTAACACTGTACTACCATCCTGTGATGGTGCGTTGTCATAAGCACCCAAAGTGATGAAGCAATTGCAAACCATCAATACTGTCAAGTAACCTTGAAGAAGTAGTCTCACATCTTCATCTTCTTGCGAGACCTGTGGCAATGCGCCCAGTGAGAAGGCAGATTCTGCCTGTGCCTATGGTGAAGTAAAATAAAGCTAAGCAAACAAACACAAGCAAACTCACCACTGCAGCCATGAATGCCGCTTGAACACTCATCAACATCCGCACACTGAAGTCCATTGCCGCTGAAACCCATTGCACACGCACATGAAAAGCTGCCCATGACATTGGTGCAGGTGCCACTGACTGCTGAGCAATTGTGCGTTCCGTCACTGCATTCATCGATATCCACACAGGAGTTACTGCCAACACCAGCGCCACTAAAACCAGGATTACACCGGCATGCAAAACTGCCGACGGTGTCCGTACAACGGGCATTGACGTCGCACGGCATATTGTCACACTCCACGATGTTCACGCAGGTGAGCCCATCGCCGGTAAATCCAGGGTTGCACATGCATGAGAAACTACCCACGACGTTGGTGCACGTGGCGTTCGGTGCACACGGACCCGGTTCGAGCATACACTCGTTCACATCTTCACAAATGATCCCGTTGCCGTTGAAACTTGCGTTGCACGTGCACGTGAAGCTTCCTATGGTGTTGTTACAGGTGGCGTTGGCGTTGCACGGACCCGGTCCAATCAAGCACTCGTTCACATCATTACAAACAAATCCATTTCCAGTGTAGCCTGCAATACAGGTACACGTAAAACTACCGATAGTGTTGTTACATCTGGCATTGGCATCACACGGACCCGCTCCGACCAAGCACTCGTTCAAGTCTTCACAAACGAAGCCGGTGCCATTGAAACCTGGGTTGCACGTACACGTGAAACTGCCTATGGTGTTGTTGCATGTGGCATTGGCATTGCAAGGACCTGGTACAACCAAACACTCGTTCACATCATTGCAAACCAACCCTGTACCGGTGAAACCGGAGTTGCACGTACACGTGAAACTACCGACGGTGTTTGCACACATGGCATTGGTATCACACGGACCCTCACCGACCAAACACTCATTTAAGTCTCCACAGAGGAATCCTGTACCGGTGTAACCTGGGTTACAAGTACACGTGAAACTGCCTACAGTGTTATTACACGTGGCATTGATGTGACACGGTGACGGTAGAGCACATTCGTCTATGTCCACACAGTTGAATCCATCACCAGAGAATCCCGCCAGGCAGGCACATTGATATGATCCAAACGTATCTGTACAGTTGCCTCCGAGCGCGGAACAATTGTGAGTTCCCAGACTACATTCATCAAGATTGCCACACGCACCCACGGGATCAAAGCCGACGAGGCAGAGGCAACTCTCAATGGGCGATCCCAATACATTCCTGCAAGCACTGTTGGGTATGCCGCGAACCACCTCACAGTAATTGCCATTGAGACAATTGTTTACATCTGACATGACACAGGCGTTGCAAGAACAAAACACAAACACACCGAAAAGATTAGTCCACAAAAAAATGAATCTAGCAATGAGACCACACTGATTGTAATTTTACAGCAGAAAAATTAACGTGACCCAAATTGATGGAGAATCCACTTTACAATCATAGAAAATGAAGTAAATTATCGTGCCCGAAGGGAAGTCACGATGGCCACTAACACCCGGTAAGCCCTGGAGTTTACAATCATAGAGACATACTCGTAAGCAATGATCTGTTTATGATCGATGTTGTTCCCAGAATTTGTTTCTCTTTCAAGCACAGACACGCAGACTTACATACAGGTGTGCATACCTCAGACCTCAGACCTGCATCGCGGAAGCGATGATAGCGAACAGCTATGTTTAGACATAACAACTTGTGCTGGGATTACACCATTCAACAGCTTGCAAGGCTGATGAATTGACCGCCACTAATTTTAGCCTGATATCCACCACACAGCTGATTGAAGTAGCTTTTTCTGGCCAGTGAATCCCTATTTTTCATTTTTTTTTCATTTGGGTGTATGCATACACCCACACCCACCCACACACTCATACACGCATGCGCGCGCATGTACTCACACCTATGCACATATACATTATACACATACATGTACACACACGAGTGCACTCATATACCCACAAGCACACACGCATAATACACACACATTGTGACACAAACACATACAAGCATTATATTCACACACTAATACTACTTCTAGTAGTACTACTATGTACAGCCACCCTATTGGGCCACGCCGCTCCCAGAAGCGTGAGACGACGACAAGAAGAAACAAGAGAAGAGAGATAAATCGCGAAGTCAACAGAATTGGGCATGGCGTTGCAAATCCTGTGACCTTGGCTTGATAACCGCCTTTCGCAATGTTCGCAGTCATCACGGCAGTTGTTCCTGGCTGCACTTGACATCCGTTTCGCACGGTCACAGTGATGACGGCTCAGACCAGAACGGGAGCGGAAAGATCAGAGACAAACATCACATCGAAAAGAGTCAGATTCATGGCGAATAGATTCAGCAGGGGCATCCGTGGACACAGGACAGCGGTGCACAGCCAGTTTTCCAGCGCTCTTCAAACACCGCATACACTTCATACATTGCCTGGCACCCTTCTGTTGTGACACAGGCAACTTCCGGTGGGCAATGCACTTGTGCCGGGCCATGTCGTTATGGCGGCGGAAGTCTCTGGCACACAGCAAGCAGCGCAAAGGCGGCAGATCATCTGCATGTGGTGGTGGCTCAGCAAGGAACATCCTCCAGCTCTGCCGATCTTGTGCATTCTGAAACCAGGAATCCACGCCGGCTGCCTTCATGTCTCTCTGGACAACGTCTTTCCAGCGCCGCCGGGGGCAACAAGGAGGGCGACGACCACTCAACTTTCCAAACAAAATCTGGACGAGAGCACGGCCTGCAGGCATGCGCGCTTCGTGCCCGAGCCATTCCATACGCCGACGCCAAACAAGGCACACACACACACACACACATACACACACGAACATACACACACCTTGAACCTTAGATTAATACTTGATTAATCCTCGAATTCTCGATCATTGCCGATGGCAATGATATGATGACGAAGGGACTATCTGCTAGTTTTTCAGTATGGAGCGTGACGCTTGAGAATCCCGGGATGACCGCAGACCTTTCCTCTTGCGCAGTGAAAGCCAGGGTCATTGTCAGGGGGAGCACGGGCGGCCGACGTTGAGCAATCTGCCTCCAGACAGAGCAATCCTGGGCAGCAGCAAACAAGCATCCAGAAAGCACAAGGAGGCTGGTAGAGCGGAGATCATCTACGATGCCGTCACACCACCACTTGCGTGAACCGTGGGGAGGATGGGTTGCAGGGGGCTCCTAAAACAAAACTCGCTTCGGCGTAGATCTATAGTCGTCAGTCATCTGGCCAACGTGCCCAAGCCAACACAGTCGATACTCTCGGATGATGTCCTCGACATCACAGTCAACGCCGAACGTTCTGGCCATACACACACATGCACATATACACACACACACACACACACACACACACACACACACACATACACACACACACACACACACACACACATGTACGTACATACATGTACAGACACACCCTGACTTTGACATACAGCTCCAGTTAAACGGCTAAGCTGCCTTCATGAGGAGGGAAACAAAGGTGTAGGTAGCATCACGGCTTCGCGACACAATATCCGGCCTCATGCCGCTGCAGATTCTACTGACTCCGATATTTTCTCACCTCTCACACAGCAGACCCCCCCCCCCACACACACAAACAACAAAAAAGGAACTGATTATACAATCATGCACCAAAACAGCACAACAAACATACCAACACTGATAGATTGAGTATTGCTTGTGGCTAGAACACCTCCATTGTCATCCATAACACTGCATTGATGGAGGATAGGGGCTCCAGGAATCATTGTTGGTCTGGCCACATTGACATAAGTGATAATCTCGCCATACTTTCCAGACTGGAAAACTTGCGAATCGGGAAGAGGATTCAGGTTAAAGGTCCAGGTGACATTGGATGTGATCTGGCCAGTAGTTACATTGCATACACTGGTGGCATTGCTGCCCTCAGTAATGATCAACGACACAGGAGCGATTGTCAGACCTGTAGAGAAGAAAGAGGTTTAGGATAACAAATATTATGTTGATATTTGCTTTGTTCTCACAATCTGGCTATGAGGGCAAATACGTGCAGCGAAAAATCGTACGAATGTTCCGTAAAATGCTCAAACAACAAAGATAATTTCCACCTACTCCTATTCAATCTGTTTTGCCTACATTGGAGTCAGGAATAGGTTTTGGCTACTGGCTTTCAGTTCCCGTGCGTTGAAGTGTGCGTCTGCGTACGAAGTTACCCTGCCTATTCAGTGCTGTATAATCTGATTGAAAACAGATAGCAACTCAGTACATCATGTTCTTGGCTTTCATGCGGAGAATAAAGGGTACAATGTCCTGCATATTTCCCGGACTACGTTAACTTGAAGGAAGATATCTTCCATATACAATCATGTGTAAAGAGGCGTTTCGGAGTAAGGATTTTTGACAATACGATAAATAGAACAAATAATAAATAATCGACGCGGAGACAACAATTTTATAATAGCTATAAAGAGAACAAATTCTGCTGTCATCGCCACACTACAACAAAGTCATGAAGGTTTACCAAAATCGATTTTCTTGTCACAATCATCAGTGGAAAGCCGTGACTGAAGAATAACCATGCCAAATCAATAATTTATATACATTTAATAAATGTGTTACGAGAACAAAACAAAGTGCTAAAAATAGAATGAGGGAAGGTGAGACAATAGAAGTAAAGTGAGATCAACATTCAAAGACCTAGACGATCAACGGCTAATTATTCAATGAATTATTACAGTACTGGATGTCAAGCACCGGCGAAGACACTGGGAACAGATGATTTGGCAACAACAGGAACAACAACAATGACAACAACAACAATGGTAACAAATTACCATCAAGATCAAAGGAGGAGTCAACGAACAGAGGTTCAGCAACGTGAAGCGAGCCTGGGACCGATCGGTGGTGATGAGGAGAATGACACGGAGGACGATACTGAGGACGAGTTGGAAGATGAGACGGGGGACGAGGTTGCGGTTGGTGGAGACGAGGAATCGGATGGTGATTGTGATCGTAAGAAGTCTGCCGTTTTTCTTCATCTGTTGTCTCACCCTAAGTGTCTGCAGGTGTATGATGATTTTAGTTTTTCTGTTCTTTGTCGTGCACGGTACGCTAGTCAGTTGAAAGTACTTGAGGCTGTTTGTATTCGTTTGCATAAGCCTGATCTTTGTAAGCAGAAGAAACATGTAGTTGCGTTAAGATTGGTTTCGTAGGTGCACAGCATGATTGTTTGTCTAACTACACAGTTCTAGCGTTGCAATTACTTCCTCCGCGTCATCGAAATTGTCGCAGTTTGACTAGTGACTTGCCACTTGTTACTGACAACTCCATAAGCTAAACCATTCAAAACTTTTTACACAGTATGATAGTCTGAAGACTAGAGTAACGTTCCAGGACAGTTGGGCTGAGAGTTTTCATGCAGAGATGAAGTCCTCGTCGTCGCTGATGTCAATGGACGCAAAAATATCGTTCCGAAATATTTCAAGGAAGGTTGAAAGTTGGTCGCGCCTCATGTCAGACGCTTTGACTTTCTCTACAGGACAAGAGCTGCTATGCTTGTCGTCTGCTAGCTCTGGATGATTTCTACTTCACCCCTAACGAAGCCTAGTAAGAATAAAGGATCGTTGCGAGGTCGGTTGATTACCGTCGGCGGAACCACCTCGATCTTGAAAATGAACTTTTTTTAGCCGTGGCATGCCCATTTATTTTACCTGTGTGGTCACAGCTCATGCAGGTAAGTGTACTATCATCCAGAGCGCCCTCTTTTTCAGCATCACTGGAACGGCACCTGCGCGTGCATCACTAGCACTTCGTGTAGAGTCTACACCATAGTACACGGCTCTTGCAGGTAAAATCATGTACTGAGTGTCTCAGCCAGAGCAACAAATTTTATCGTCGTTGCATGCATTTAGTTTGCTGACCCCTCGATGTTTCTCCGAGCGCTGCTACTTGTTCCACGAAGTCATTCTCACCCCAGCTAAGGTAAAACAGTGATGAGGCTCGAGTGAATGGCCATAAGCACGAGAAATGTGCAGCCTGCAACGCCTGACTGATCTCAGCGAGTTGAAAATACCATCGCAGCGACATCAGCGAAGAAATTGCGTCTAGTTCAAAAATTTCAGATTCCAATAACAGAAAATAGAACTTTGCCGTCACCCTATACTGATGACTGTCGCCTATGTCCGATTCCTTGCCTCTGATACGAGTGCTGGTGAGTAAATACCCCGTTTTATGTCAAAAGTCAAACTGCGACAATTTCGATGACGCGGAGGAAGTAGTTCCTCACCCCTGTTGCACTTAGCTCTCACTTTACTTCTATTGTCTCACCTTCCCTCATTCTATTTTTAGCACTTTGTTTTGTTCTCGTAACACATTTATTAAATGTATATAAATTATTGATTTGGCATGGTTATTCTTCAGTCACGGCTTTCCACTGATGATTGTGACAAGAAAATCGATTTTGGTAAACCTTCATGACTTTGTTGTAGTGTGGCGATGACAGCAGAATTTGTTCTCTTTATAGCTATTATAGAACAAATAATCCTAACATAATACCATGTAACATTCATGAAATGCAAAAAAGCATAAAATATGAGTAGTCTTGGTAACCTCCAATCATGACGTAGATTTGTTTGAGCACATAATTATGATAGTGTTTATTCACATGTATGTTACCATTCGAAGTAGGTTCACTGATGATCATCGAAAGAAAACCCTCTATGAATCACAATCATGTTATCGCTTTTTCCCCTTTAAAATGAGTTAAGCACTCTTACAAGGGGCAGTGCCTTTGCTGTTTGCGTTACGCAAAGCTCATTCACTTATCAGTTTGAGCACTCTGGCTAGGTAATTTCGGGCCTGGTTTAACTGGCTTTGGATTTTTTTCATTGCCATCAGGTTCGGCCTCATTTTCTCTGGGCTGCGCTGATGAGTCCACAAGGGGCGAAACAGTTCTGTCCCAAGATTGAGTGAATCCTATAGTTTATACATTCCTGCATTACACAATATGATTTTTTGCGCACGCGCAAAAATATGTTAACACAGAAGGCGCATGCTCTGTTCCCAACAAACTCTCACGCGCTCATTGTTCTCCGAAGTCCACTGTTCCTGACTTCAGTTCTTGCTTTGTCCGCATTGGCAGTGGATTTCTTTCTCAACCTCAATCTCAAGGTTTACCATAGCTCACGGAGATGCCCAGTGCACGTAAGCAGTCGGCTCCCGGGCCCAGACGTTTCAGCCGCAGGCGCGCCTCGTCGTCCCCGTATGCCGACACTCCGAATCGAGCCCCTGCGGACCATGCGGCCGATTGTTCCGGCAATATCCGTGCGGATCGATCCGGCAATGCCCGTGCGGAGCAGGACGATATCCCGTCCGCCGTTCCCCAGCCGGCCAGCTTACTCCCAACTGGCCTAACTCCACGTTCCGTTACGGCGGCCGTGTCGACGGCTCTGCACCCCCTGCTGGCTCGAGTCGAGCGCCTTGAGGAGCGAATTTCAGCTCGCCAGGATCCGGACGGCCATGATCAGGCGGCGGTCCCCTCAGTGGCAGATGTGGTCCAAACCGCGTCCAACGCCGTCAACAAACACCCGCCGCAGTTCGACTCCGGCCCCATGGACATTTCCCTCGTGCAACCCGCACTGCCTCCGATCGCAGCGCCCATGGGGAACACTCGTGAGTCCAGCTCTATTGTTCCCACGGTCCCGCGTAAGTTGCCCGACAAAATCACACACGGCGAATATATCGAGCTGGAGGATCTCCTCCAGGAGAATATGGGCGCAGGGTCCGAGCCCTTGGAGCTCAGTACCGCCAACGGAGAGGGCCGGCGTGTGTCCCTCAATTTATGTGTGACTAAGAAGCGCTCCATTGTCGACTTCACTGCCTGGCTGGAAGCCTACACACTCTACATGGCCTGCGCACTGAAATATGTGCCATTCCAAGCACTGGAGTTGGTGACGTACCAGCACATTATCTGTACTGCCAACCAGCAGTTTGCGACCCCAGCTGTACTGGGGTATGACCGTGCCTTCCGTGCCGCGGCGGCAACAACCTCGGCTCGTTGGGACGCAATCGACCAAAGCCTCTGGAGCCTGCACCTGATCCGGGCACCCCGACCATCATGTCCGCGCTGCACAACGCACCACAGCTGTGACCGTTGCCCACAGTATTTGGCAGGGCCACGTGCTCCAGCTGGCACCAACACCAGCCGAAATACGCAGCCATTTCTGGCCGGGGCGGGCAGCACCCGCCAGATCTGCCTCAACTTCAACCGTGGCCGCCCATGCCAACACCAGCCCTGTGAACGCTTGCACGTCTGCTCAACCTGCGGCGACCGAGGTCATCTCGCTGCACCAACGACGGTCGCCGGGGACCCCCCCCCCCCCCAGACGGACAAGCCCGTCGCAGCGAAGTAGTCTCCCCACGCCTCTGTACATAGCCCGCCTAATGACTCTTTTGCCCTGTATTTCTAATCGTGTCCTCTCTGACTTTTTCCTTAATGGCTTGCAACACGGGTTCCCCATTGGCCACTCTGGTGCTTCTGTATCTATCATCCCTGGCAACCTCCCAACTTCCATTGAACATGCTCAGCTTGTACAACAACAAATTGCTGACCGGGTCCGACGTGACGAATCGGCCGGTCCTTTCTCTGTCCAGCCTTTCCACCCATTTGTATGCTCTCCGCTCGGCGTAGTGCCCAAGAACAACGGGAAATTCCGCCTCATTCACCACCTGTCTTACCCTGATCGTATGTCTGTCAATGATGGGATAAACAAGGATTCGTTCTCCCTACATTATGTCACAGTGGACAATGCCATTGAGCTTCTGCAACGGCAAGGTACCAGTGCCTTGATGGCGAAGCTCGACATACGCAATGCATTTCGAATGGTCCCTGTCGCACCCACTGCATACCATTTGTTGGGTTTCCAGTGGCAGTGCCAATTCTACTATGACAAAGTACTGCCATTCGGGCTGAGGTCTGCACCCTACTTGTTTAACTGCATTGCGGACGCACTTTGCCAGATAACCTGTGAACTGTTCCAGGTTCCCCGCCTCCTGCACCTTCCGGACGACTTCTGGCTCTGTGGCCCTGCAAACTCAACGCTATGTGCGCAGCGTCTGAACGTAGTCCTCTCCGTATTCCGCTACTTGGGAGTTCCCATTACCGACGAAAAGACAGTCGGCCCAACCTCACCTTCCTGGGCATCGAACTGGACTCCGTCCAGAAAGTGGCTCGTCTCCCACAGGACAAGGTTGACGACATCCGCTCCAGACTATTGGCCTTTCGCCAACGCAAATCCTGCCGTCTACGGGAGCTTGAACAGCTGTTGGGCAAGCTGAACTTTGCCAGCCGCGTCATCACGCCAGGCCGTACATTCATGCGCCGACTGTATGATGCCACGCTCAACGTTTCCAAGCCCTACCACCGCATCCGTCTCTCTCCAGAATGTCATCTGGACCTGTTTTGGTGGTCTCACCTACTCGATGGCTGGAATGGCAAGTCATTCTTCCTCGATCTCCAGGAGACGCTGGCCAGCGACATCCTGATAGAATCTGACGCATCTGGCGCAATCGGGCATGGCGCAGTTTACGGCACGCATTGGTTTGCCGACACCTGGTCACCACAACACACTCCGCTCTGCATTGCATTCAAGGAGCTGTATCCCATCTGCATTGCATGTGCTACGTGGGGCCACCAGTGGTGTCGCAAGCGTATCCGCTTCCATACCGACAACGAAGCTGTCGCCGCTGTTCTCAAGTCTGGCTCCAGTCGCTGCACTAATGTGATATCACTCCTACGGCAGCTCTTCTTCATCTGCGCCAAGGGTAACTTTATGGTCACCGCCCGTCACATACCTGGAACTACCAACATCCTTGCTGACGCTCTCTCCAGGCAAGATTTCAAGCGATTCCATTCGTGCCACCCTACCGCCGCTCACATGCCCACTCCCGTGCGTGCTCTTCCGTCCATTCCTGGGGAGACTTCGGCCGTGCCTTGCACCGCCGAGTGACGGAAGTCCACATGCAAACTGCCATGAAAGCTGGCAGCACCGGTCCTGGGTAAGCGCTGATCAGACAGACTGAGCCCACTTATTGTGGGTGCCAGAGCATAACCGAATGTCACCAATGTACCGACTGTACACTCAGTAACTCAATATCACTCTACTATTGTCCAAAATCTGTGGCACTCCCTCTACAGTTAATTAACAGTGAATAGGAGGTTCTCTAGTTGGGGAGTCAACCTTGCTTACCAGGCTCCTCATACGGCTCATTCAGCGTCTCACACTCAGACGGCTCACTCAGCCTCGGCTCATTCAGCCTCTCAATACGGCTCACTCAGCCTCCACAGCCGGGCCCTGCCCGGCTGCCTCCATACGGCTCACTCAGCCTCCGCAGCAGGGCCCTGCCCAGCTGCCATACACACACATTCACACAGCTCTAAGCTGTCACTCACTCGGAGCCTGGCAAAGCAATTGACAAACCCTCCCTTTCCCCAAACTGGTTGCTCATTGTGTGAGTGCGGCATGCGGATGCTTGTGTTAAATAAGTTTTTGCGCACACGCAAAAATATGTTCACACAGAAGGCGCATGTTCTGTTCCCAGCAAACTCTCACGCGCTCATTGTTCTCCGAAGTCCACTGTTCCTGATTTCAGTTCTTGCTTTGTCCGCATTGGCAGTGGATTTCTTTCTCAACCCACCCACCAACTCCACTATTGTCATCATCATGTTTCCTGTTCTAGTTCTCTCCTGTCGGTATCCATTATCATACCGGCCTACAATAACAACACCGATGCCGTCTACCGGCGAAACTCTGTAAATACAATGAGGGGAGTCAACCTTGCTTACCAGGCTCCTCATACGGCTCATTCAGCCTCTCACACTCAGACGGCTCACTCAGCCTCGGCTCACTCAGCCTCTCAATACGGCTCACTCAGCCTCCGCAGCCGGGCCCTGCCCGGCTGCCTCCATACGGCTCACTCAACCTCCGCAGCAGGGCCCCAGCTGCCATACACACACATTCACATAGCTCTAAGCTGTCACTCACTCGGAGCCTGGCAAAGCAATTGACAAACCCTCCTATTCCCCAAACTGGTTC